AACAGAAGACATGAAACTTATGTGGCAACTACATATGCATCTGTTTTGGCTCCAATGCACCATATTTCAGATTTCATGAATCTTTTTGTCACGTGTAAGTCTCTTTTAATTAGAAGTTATATAATTCTTTTTTTTTTAAAAAAAAAAGCCAAATGTGTGACCGAGTCCAATGAAAAAATTCTACAAATAATAATCAGTTACATTTCAAACAAAATGGATATATTAATTCAAATTCAAATGTACAATCGTACAGTTTTGCAGGATTAATATAAACAAAAAATAAAAAACCTAAATCCAGCAATTAAGAATAATGTCTTATAAATTAATTATTTATTATTTCCTTATAACCTCAGATTTATAGGTATATTTTTTTAAGCCCCAAACCATAGCATAAATGATATATACGCCAAATTAATTCCTCAAAAAATAGTAATTCAATTAGATTTTAATAAAATAGTAATTTAGAAGGGGCGTCCGGGCATCTGCCTGGACCAAACATCTAGTTTATATTATTGTAATTTAACTTTTTAACAAGCGCCTAAGTTAATAGAGTTTAAATTTAATGATAATAGTATTTTTGCTCACTTAACATACACCATATTATAATTTAACAAATTGAAGACCAATCGAAGTTGTATGGTGTAGATCAAGTGAACCGAAATACTGCTTTATTAACAAATTAAAGTTTATAAATTTAACAGACTCTTATATATACTAAAAATAATTAATAAATATGAATATTATTTTAGAATTAATAAATATAAATATAATTTAAGTATAAATTATTAATATAGAAAAGATTAATTCATGGAGGTTCTATAGTAGAACTTCCACTAAAAACCAACAATTTTTGTTATCGTTAAAAATATGAGAAGAGTAGGGTGTATATTTGGTGGGCCCGACATTATCCTCCCAAATGCCGCATCCGGCGGCAGCTACCGGGAAAGAAAAGATCTTCAAAGATGGCGTGTGGGCTGATGAAAGGAAGCTGCTCATTTGCATTTCGGAAAATGTGATTGGGCTTCGTCCCTATCCTAAACTCCCTCCCCAAGCGGGGCCCACCTTTTCTTTAAACACCGGAATGTTCCAAACGTGTCTTCTTTTTTTTTTTTGGTCCTTTTTTTTTTTTCCTTCTCAAATTTCATTTTTGTAGTTTATGTTGATCCGTTTTTAATAAATCAAAAAAACAACTGAAATCTCCCTGTTATTTCGGAATAGGAATCCGCAAGAAAATGGATGAAACATTGGGAAACGCCATTTTGCATGCGCGTATTAATTATTCATATGTTGCACAATAAGAAAAAACTAAATACTCTTTTTATTTCGAAATTATTCTCTAGTTTAGATTTTTATTTTTAATTCAAATACTACACTACGAATACTGTGGAGGTCAAACAAGGGTAAATGATTATACTATAATTTTTATGATTTGGTGAGGTTATAACTTTCAACCGTATTACTAGTTCTGTCCCAAAATTATTATCTGATTTCTTTTAAAAATTATATTATACTCATTTCTTTTACCTTTGTTTAACCTCCACAATATTTGTACTGTTGTCCCTGAACATTTATACACGCGTTGATAGTAATTTTGACAACAATTCAAAATTAACATAAGATGTAAACTTGCTCCCTAAAAATTCAACCAGTTACGGCGTTTCTCAGCATGTATGTGAGACAACATTATTGTCATTTAACAAAGAGTGAAGCATGTCCAATTCCATGAGACCATAGTAATAAGGATAAAAAGGAAGCAGAGGAAACTTCCAATCACTTCTTTATCTTTGTCTGGTTGACTTCTGTTTTGGTAGAAGATAGTTTTTTTTTTGGACTACTGGTGGTGCACTTAGTTGAATTTTGACATGGAAACCTAAAGGAAAGTGAATGATAGTTCCTGTTTCTTTTCCCCTTCTTTTCTTGATATTTTACCGGCTTTGGTGTAAATCTTCTTGGACTATAATTATGTGACTATCATTATCATTGCACTGCATGAAAAGAAGACTCTTGCAATTAGCCGTTGGTATGTTAAACTAAGCACTATTATTATTATGACTTTTTCCGTAAGTGAAAAAAAATTGGCTCTTTTCCCCCTTCATAATGTTAATGTCAATTTCTACTACCTGTCACCTAAAACCTGTATTATATCCAGATAATGTCTCTACCGACAAATATACGACATCAAGGTTCATTTCTTCTAAATTGGGTATCTGAAAAAACTGTACATATTAATTTGAAGTCGAAGAACAAAACATTCTACACAAAAAGTCGCAAAAAGGGTCTAAGAGAATGAATTTAAAGAGTGTTTGGTAGGATTATATATTTATATTTCCCAATGTGTCCAACATTTTGTGTGGGAACCAAACTCAAAAAAGAAAAGGTTATTAAATTCTTTCATCATATAAAAATTGGCTCCTACAAAGAGAATTTTTCGAGAATGCACAATATCTTTGACTTTGAATTTTCAGATTCTTCAAACGGAAAAATATTTTTGGACCTTAACTGCGAGATAATTTGATTTTTTGGTTCTTTATATATGAATCTCAATACTTTTGATGATCAAATGATCAAGTATATTGGGGGTGGGTGGCTGAATGGCTAGAGATAAGTGTGTGTGTGTGTGTGTCTATATATATATATATATATATATATATATCAAAATTGAATGGGCCTTAATTTAATTTTATCAAGAGTTAGTTCCATACTTTTAGTGTCCTTTACGTATATTTGGATACTTAAGGTGTTGAGTGAGAGCCAAGAGTCACACAAGAATGAAGAGGCAGTCCAATAGAAATGACCCTATCAAGAAGTGATTTGGTGTGTCATCACTGATTTATTATATAAACACTGAGATTATTATATAACCAGTTCTCTAAGACACATAATTTGTAATAGATAGTTTCTATGTTTTTGTTTAACATAACATTGTATGTATTTGTAGTGAGAGGATTTGTCACTGTTGTAAATGCTTGACAAAACCTCTCAAATTGAAGAAGCAAAAGAAAATGCAAGACTAACAATCTAAAAGTATTGCAAGTCGCCAAACTTATTTTCTATACACATCCTGTTCTAAAATGATTATTCAATTTAAATTTTTGATTTTAGTAAAATTTGTATTAAAAATGAAAATTTAAACTAGATAATTTTGAGAGAAGGCACGTACGTACTAGATTTTCTTTTAATCTAAAGTATGTTTGGGATACTGTCCAGGGAGAGTCATTCTCTAAGCTCACAACATAGGTGAATTAGATCGGATAGTGGATTACTTATTTAAGAACAGAGTCAATTTTTTCTTTTCTTTTTTTTCGTTGATTCAAGAATTGGAAGAAATGGGGAAAAGGAAAAAAAAAAAAGAAGCATGCATGCATGACAAGGAGGTCCACAATAATATAATTACAATATGATGGAAAACCATGTGAGTGATATTGTAAGAAGTAGTGGTGAATCTTGTTGATTTTTGGTTGGGAAGATAGAGAGAAGAGGCGCATGCAAAATACAGAATAATACGAAGGGAAGGGGGGGTGGCCGGTATTGTTGACCTTCTTTGTTCATAGGATACCTCATTTATATGAATTAATGTTGTCTTCTCTTTATCCTTAACCTGAAGATATGGAAAAAAGGGGTAAAACAGATAAGCTCATGTTTCATCAGCCCAGTCGGCAAAGTGACAGCAGGCAGCCAATTTCTGTTCCTCCATTTCTCTCTCTCTCTCTCTTACAGTATTTGATGTATTCATTCATTATCCGTATCTCTCACCCCTTTTCCGTTGCCGAATTTATTTCCCTGCTTTTTTACTCAATCCATGTCGCCTATTATTATATTGTATGTATAGCAACTAACATCGATTTCATTTTCAGAATACTTATTCTACATAGTTGTTCTTACGAACTTGAATCTAAATAGGAAAATATAAAAGAAGAAGAAGACAAGATTCCCATTTAATTACTCCTTCCGTCTCATAATTATTGTCCAGTTTAGGTTTTTATTTTTAGTTTAAATTGTACTAAAATTGAAATATTAAACTGGACAATATTTTTGGGACGGAGAGAGTACTATATTCAATTAAAAAATGTACAACAGACATAATTTCTTAGTTGGAAGTAGGAAGTTGGAACGATAGAAAAAGTAGAAATGTACTCCCTCCGTCCTATAATTATTATCCAGTTTGAATTTTCATTTTTAGTTTAAATTGTACTCCCTCCGTCCCATAATTATTGTCCAGTTTGGGTTTTCATTTATAGTTCAAATTGTACTAAAAGTGAAATCTCAAAGTGGACAATAATTTTGGGACAGAGGGAGTATTAAAAGTGGAATCTCAAACTAGACAATAATTTTGGGACAGAGGAGTAACAAGTAACATAGATCAATGGGCTTGTCTACAATTTTGTTTTGCAGACTTGATTATTTTGATAAGTTAATGGCATTTTTGCATTGGGCCCGGAAGACTGCTAAGCAGAAAAGAAAATGAAAAAAAATCTGCTACGTAGGATGCATCGTTTGCTTCCATCTCAGTTCCTTACATTTCGATTTAAGGGATTACGAAAACTACGAGAAAATTGTAACTACAATTGAACTAGAGAAGTTTGTAAAAATGGGAATTAAAAGCTGGACCAATGCAACTTTGGAATATTAGGTGTTGGACCAGCTAGCTGTCAACAGTGGAGTAACGGGCTTGTTCTGTGACTTTCGGCCCAATTAAATAAAAAGCTTTGTTTGTTTGGACGTCATCTTACATTTCATTTTACCACTTAAAAGTGAAAAGTTTTCAAAGTTGAAAACTAAATGAGAAATAAAAATGTTGTTTGGATGGTATTTTGAGCAAAAAGTTGTTTGGATATTGGTTTTGAAAAAAATATTTTGAACTACATTTTGAAAATATCAAGTACGAATCATCACTAAATAATTAAATACTGCCAATCATAGTCACTGCAAAAAAAACTTTTCCAAAAGCAATCACTCAACAACGAAATTCTGCCAAATTTGTCAATAAATTATTTGTAGTTCTAAAATGGTCATTACACTAACAAAAAGTGTTTCAAGTTAGAATTTAAAATATAAATCATAAAGTTGTTTGGATGATATTTTCTTTTCTATTGGGTTCTGTATTTAAGAAGTAAAATGAGTTAAAATGTAAAATGAGTCGTTATCCGAACAACGGCCTAGCCCCTTAATAATCTCAGCCCAGATAATCTCTCAACATTGGAAACATCATTTCATTTGCGCTCGAGTTCATTCATTCAGTCACAATCAGCCGCCGGACCGGCCGGATTTTTGCTGATAGCCTGGAATCTGCCGCCGATCAAGAGCCACCTGGAAAATGTGCCCAGGAGGAAAAGAACGATAAAAACTCAGACAAAAGTGTATCGATCATAACTGAGTTACTGTTAGCAAGTTAATCATCCTGTGTTAAAGAAAACACTTTGGTTACTTTTTTTGATACTACAATTCTTTTTCTATAAGGCTACAAACACATTTACAAGACACTACTAAATCCATGATTTGAAATTTTGATCAATCTTCATCGGGTAATTATTCAGATGTAGTATACCATTCCCACTTCTAATGTCGATGCATGAGGTACACTAAACGCATAAGTCGGCGATCTACAGTTTCTCCTCAGGAAATCATACCCATAATTTATGGCTAGTTTCTTCACTAAGCTAGACCCTTGTTTAGCCTTCACGTATGAATGCCCCAATATGTAAGCTATCCCAGCTTCCCTTGCTTCCATTAGATCCCTTAATTCCTCCCTTGCAATGCTGTCGATTTTCGGACTCTCTGGTATCACAAACCTCACTCTTTTCCTCGATTTTGAAACGGGTGGTGACCGGATTTCTCGTAGCTCAGAGGGGCCGGCCTGATCAGCTTCATCCACCCGCAACTGAATACCGTCCAAATGAGTTGAAGGTGTTCCAACCACCGTCATATCTTCGTAAATATCCTTCTCGTTTCCGGCAGCTGCAGCATCCAGATCATCCAGGGTAACGCCGTTTATGCTCGATTTTCCTGTTCGGATGAACTCGGCTATGCTGCAGACCAAGTCATTCTCAAACACCATGTCATCTTTATGAGCATCGCGATACCCATAACGGACGATGCATCGATACATTCGATACTCCCTCGGCCCAATGTGACCTACGAGAAACCTTTCTTCGTGCTTGACATGAGGAACTGGCACTGATTTTACGCATAGGAAAACCAGGACTTGGTGAAACGCTGGAAGATTGGTGACAAAATGCGAGAAAATTGCAGGGATCCCGGAGACCAGCTCAGTGTGTATTAGGCCTATGCCGCGGACTCGGACAATGCCTAGGCTGGGCCCGAGGCTGAGAAGCCAGTCAACCGAAACCTTGTTTTGGACATCAAACTCATACTTCTTCAGTGTGCCGTAGTGCCAAACGCACATGACTATCATGAAGAGGAATGAAAGTGCGATTGGTACCCAAGCTCCTTCTAAGAACTTGATCAGTGAAGCAGAGAAATAAAGGGCTTCAATTGTGCCAAAGAACACCACGAACGCAATTGCCAGGAAGACGCTCCGGTGCCAGCATAGCACGATAATAAGAGACATCAAGCAGGTTGTCACAAGCATCACAGTTATTACAGCCAAACCTGATGTCAATTTGGGAGAAAACTATTAGGACAAAGCAAATGGATTTCATAAGAATTCTGTAATTTACTCAAGACTTAGGAGAGTTGTCTGCTAAATTTCCAGGCTGCTTGTGTATATTCTAATCAAGGAAGCCTCACCTGAAGCATTCCCCATCCGCTTCGTGTCTCTGAACCCAATTGTAACAGCCAAGCATAGCAACATCAAGGTCCAGTTGATCTCTGGGATGTAAATCTGTCCATGTATCTTTGAAGACGTGTGCACTATCTTCACTCTGGGAAAGCAACCCAGAGCTGAGCATTGTTTTATGATTGAAAATGTTCCAGTAATGATGGCTTGGCTTCCAACCACTGCAGCAAGGATGGCGATTGCTAAAACAGGCCATCTTAACTTCTCTGAAAAAGGATTTTCAAGTAACTTTATGTCAGAAAGTCAGAAGAAATACTAATTTTCTCTTACGTAAACAGGTAAAGTTTTCAAGGGACACTGTTCTGTACCAGGTACGGAGACATAGAATCCGATATGGTAGTCACTTTGGATGACATGATGTTTGGATAGATATGCGGCTTGTCCCATGTAAGCAAGGATTAATGATGGATAAACCATGGTTGTAAATGCAATCTGCAAAACCATCAAACCTATAAGACCAACCCGAAGCTTGAGGATTAATACTCAATTGCTTTCAACCCCATTGTATTTCAGTTTTCAACAACACATATGGAAGCTCAAGTAGCAAGGAAAAAGAGTAAGAAACTACAAGTACGATGCATAGAAGGTTAGGAAAGTACAATCTTTGCAAACAGTTGTGCGATGGTGATTTTCACTAATTGTAACAGTTGAATTACAAGCATGTGATATGAGTTCGCTGAATCAACCTTGGTTCACACAATTAACTGAATGATATGGATGTATCATGTTCAAACATGCACCAGAAATGAACTTCATTTGTTCTGGGGTATGTTAGCTGGAAATAACAGCCTCAAAATGTCTAATCCAGAACAGAAAGGGTACCTGTATAGAAAACTGGGAGAAATGCCCCAGGTCAGCAAACATAGCTTCAGAACCTGGAACAGTTGAAAGAGTATTAGACAAATCCATACTTGAAAATTGAATCATCATAATTAATAGGAGTAGAATGCGCAGTGGGGCTCACCTGTTATACACAAAAGAATCCCACCCAAGGACATCCAACCTTCTCTTTGAGTTTTCTTCAGGAATTTGTACATGTAATATGGGGACAAAGCTTGATAGACATGTGGATTCCAATAGACAATATTGTACAGCCCAATGGAACTGATGCATAGAAGCCATGTTATCACCACAGGTGCAAACAAGAACCCGACTCTGTGGGTACCATAATGTTGAAGGGCAAACAAGGCTATCAGTATGATACAAGTGGCTGGAACTTCTATATCTGCAAAAAAAAGTTTCAGGGTTTAAGAAAAAACATCTCTAATGGCAATCATGACTGCTTTTAGAAAACTCGTTTGAGATCATAAATGGGATGCAACCAATAGTGAAAAACACCATGCAACTAACTGATGAGTAAGTAGGTGTTCGCTGGTCCTTCCAGAGCTACACAATTCCCTTGTATTGTTAACATAAACATAGTACCGCGGAAAAACCCTGGTTGTGTCATACAAAACCACAATTTCTTAATGCTACAATCCTGCGATTCACTCATATGAATAAAGAATTTCCTGAACTGTGTAGCTGAGAGGCCTGAGCCATATTTAGCTCTATTCCAATTTGACACAAGGTCCACATGTTCATGGCATACATTAAAGACTAGCTATGATAAGTTGAGTACTTGTCACTGTTCAGAAAAACAGAAAACTCTATCCGCATATGGTGAACAAAGATTTGAAAAGTCGGTCCCCCCAAAAAAATTAAAAAAGAAGGATTATTTAGTGCAAACACACTCCCAAATTAGGTATGTACTAGCCAGACCTCTTAAGTACTTCCTTGCAAAACTTCTCTCAGGATACAAGTTGACTACTAAACATATCCGTGGAGCCAATTGGGCAGTATCTGCCCACAATTTTATATGAGCAAACCATTTTATTTCAACAGTATATGACTTGAGATTGATAGAGATGAATTCATCAAGGGATTCCGACAGACCCAAAGAACCATTTTATAATAAACAAATTCCAAATGTGGTGGAATGACTTCATAACTCTGGATTTCTAAATTCTACTTACACTTTTACCGAAATTCTCGTATAGTTAATCTGAACAAACAAAGAGAACTCTCAAAATTGTCTTGTTCCATAGCAAAAGAATCATCTGCTACCTTATCAGAAAAAATGGATTTGGCCTATCCTTACAGGAAGTTTCCATTGTACTTGACAGTTGGTTGACACCTTGCATTATTTTAATTGCAAAACAACAGTTCTAGAAACACAGCGCTCCAGATGTACTTGTTGATTTGTACTGGTTCTTAACTTTCAGTCTTGAAGCTATAAACCTCTAAAACAAACTCTAGTCAATATGATATAACAAAAGCACTTTACACTTTCCATAGCTAATCCTTAAGGAGATGTAAAGCTCCAGTAATGGATTCAACTTTTAGAAGATTTGTTCCGTATTTAGTTTCAGAAGTCTTAGGTTGTTCCACTCCAGCTTTCTCTTAATGAGGTTCCTTTTTCTTATTTGCTGCAAGGGGAGACTAATCAACAGAGAAAGAGGAAATTGCACAGCGATTTAAGTTCTACCCCCCACTGTAAGGACAAAGTCTGGCAACAGTAGAAAATTTTTCAAATCACAGCAACACATGAATGTGGCAACTATCAACGCTGAAGTTCCTAAAACTATCCTGTCAAACTGGCAAAGTTTCCGGGGCCAAAATTAGAGAAAAGAAGATAAAACAAATTAAACAAAATTGCATATAATTTCTTAGCAGCCTCTATGCAATGATTTTTTTTCCCCAAAAGAGAAATGCATCAAAGAATATGATTTAAGAGCAATAAGATTAAATCTTACATTGGTGATGCTCTTTGGACATGGCCAATTCAACGCCAGAAACTGCAGAAAACACTGCAGAGAAGGAAACAAAACTTAATCAGTTCCAGAAAGAATTAGTAAAATTCCTATATTAGAGAAAAGAGGAGAACTGAAAAGAAACGCCTTGTATACCTGAAATAGCAGGAGTAAGAATACCATCCCCGATCACCATACAAGCACCAATCAGAGCCAACAGAAGCAAAAATCTCTGTAGCACTCGGTGCTTCTCAAGGGTGGATTTAAGCCTTGCCCCAAAAGTGGTTGGTTCAGGATTAACTATATCCTTCTTGTAGGCTGACAATTCTTCATCAGCCAACTGGCAATTGGGCAGTGCATTTACTCTGGCATGCCTGCACAAGAGTGAATACAGAGCGAATGTGCCTCCTTCACCATTATCATCAGCTCTCAGTACAATAAAAACATACTTGAGAAGAGGAACTAAAGTCAGCGTCCAAAACACGAAGGATAAAACCCCAAAGATTTCTTCATTAGTCTCTGAGTGATGAATGTCTTCAGCAAAAGTACTCTTGTAAACATACAATGGGGATGTACTTAAATCACCATAAACAACGCCCAAGCTTTGATAGGCTAATGATAGAACTGTTCGCCATGATTCTCTCTGCAATCCCAAAACAGTAGTAACACAGCAAAAAAAATCCAATTAGAAAATCCAAATGGGCTAATCTTAAAACCAACAAAAAGAATAAAAATCACAACTTTATCAACGAAAAAGAAACACAACTCACTTTAAGAGGATTTTTATAACTCCCTGTCTCCAGATCCATGATAAATCGTTTCAAAGTCCCAAATAAACCATTTTTTCCAATGCAACTTATTTGGAACTCTTCCAAAGTGAAAAAACCAAGTCGCCAACCCACCCCCAGTAAAGAACTTTCAGGAAAAAAAAGAAGACCACGTACTGACACCAAACACGATATTACACAAACTTGTAGGTAAAACCCCCCAAAAAACAATATTCTATTTAGCTTATTTGGAGTATATATCCCCACGCAGGAATACAGAGCAGGTGAACAACCCTTGCAAGAAAGCAAGTAAAAAGCACGAAAAGCCACAAAAGTTTTTTGCTCTTTAAAAAAATACAGAATCAAAGCATCAAGAAATTAGAATATTTGGGATATGACAGTGATAGCAGTTTTTTCTTTTTCCCCCTCTTTTATTATAGAAACAGATTAAACGCTAATCAAACCCCTTTTAATATGAGTTTCAGACTGAAGAGTTTGGTTTGTCTCTTTCTTTCTTCACGGCTATGGTTTTTACGTTTCATTACATTACTATAATGGGATTTTCAACGTTTATTATTGGGGTTTTTTTTACACTTTGAATTTAAATTAGTAGAGAATTTGAGGATGGTTTTTTGTTAGAGGGTTGGTGTATTATCAAAGGTGTCAGTTTCGTTAATTGGCTGATTTTGAGTCCACTTGGACCATAAGATGGGGAGAGTGGGGGTTGAAACGTGTACCATGAAACCGAGCATGAAGCACACAATATAATAATATAAATACATATAAATACTGGGTATTTCTGGATTTTGCACAGAGGAAGCAAGATCAGATCTTTTTATATACTTACAAGTTGAAGTAGGATTATATTTACACGTACTTTGGATTATTGTTTTTGGCCGTTAATCTGCAGGAGTTCCCCAATCAAAAAAAAGTTGGCTCAGATTTGAGATTGGATGCTGAGAGATTTTATGCCCCCTGGAAGTCATTGCTGGACCGGTGGCCTAACATCAATTTATTACTACTAGTACGCCAACTTGTGTTGTTATGTGTACTAGTAATATTATTATCTCCAGTATAAATGTTCTCTTTGTCTTTTATATTTGGCTTAAAAAAATTCTACTCAACCTGAAAAGTGTGTTTTTTTTTTTAATACTTTACATCTTCGTTTTTCACAGAATTCGTAGGTTATCTATATCGCATTGTTGATAACTCTTTTTTTTTACTGTTTAACTTACTATACTTCTTCCGTTCCGGAGTAAAGTTTTATTTGTTAGACCCGAAATTTCACATCAATGTATTCTTTCTGTCCTAAAATTATTTTTATTTTAAAATTTTAGTATTAGTACAATTTAAAGTAAAAACAAAAATTCAGATTGAATAATAATTTCGGGAGGAAGCAGTAATTATTTAAAATGGAACCAATAAGTACTGTCTTTTTCATCCCATCCCTAGCCTCCTTGCCTGCATCTCCTGGAACTGGAAGTAGCACAAGTTGAAAGCTGAAACATCAACGTATTAATTACAGCAATTAAGTGTTAAAATCTGTAAATGCAGTACAGCAAGGATGGATCTTAATTACCGACCAATTTCATTATAGTATTTGAATGGTACCACCTAGTCATTAGTAGTACATTATAGTAGGAGTAACTGTTAGGTAAGTACATAATGGACTAAATTAAAGTGAACTGATCCATCTTCAAATCAATCCCAACTCCCCAAGTGATTTATAACGTTGATAAGCATCTGTCTCTGGACTACAAAGACAGTAAAATCACAGTATGTAGACAGTAGTTGAACCAGCGCATCTCATCTTTTCTTTACACTCTTTTTTTTAATTTTCCACAAACACGTTTAATCACCACAAATTTCAAATATAAAATCATTATCCTAGGTAACGTTATTGTTATAGTTATTATGTGTATCATAAATCAATTATAGATGTACGATAATATACGTGGAGTTATCGTAAAATTCACATCCGTTACTATTAAAATATTATTACGTTTTTGTTGTTATATGTATATACTCCGGTTCTTTTCAAAAAAAAAAAAAAAACCAAAATAGTAAATAAGTTGGCATTTAATGTTATGGAAAAATTCTCAATTAAAAGCATTTCATGTTTTAGAAAAGAAAAAACATGTTGTACCAAGTCAAAGATAGATAGCGAGTTAGAGTGTTAATGAGCGTTTATAGTAGTTTTCTTTTAACTTAAGTTTCCTTCAATTGGTGCTTAAAATAGCATTCGTTCCGTTTTTTATAAAAATAATTCACACTGTAACTAAATTACATTATTTTCAGTATAATTTAGTGGTTTATAATCTGAATTATTTTTATGAGGCAAAAAGAGTATTAGTTCAAAGTTCAAACAAACAAACAAAAAAGTAGTTGTAGTTTACGAGTAAAATAAAGCCCTATATTTTATCGACTTGACATTATTATTGTTTTTATTAGAATACAGACCAAAGCGAGCATTCATCCTAAAAGACAATTCGGGATCATATCCCCACTTCTTCCATTATTATACCATATAAATTTTAAGAAGGATAAAAAAGAGGCCATGGCCCTTAGTTTCTTTATCAATGCCAATAAAAAGAGTAACTTTGATCTTTCACCATAAATATCCATTTACAAAATGAAAGAATTATCCGATTAATCATTGAGGCATCGGGTCTGTTATCTATCAAGAACCACATTCATAATTAAAATGGTTTGGAATATATATAATTAATAGTTTTCATATGTTGAATCGATGAGGACTGATTACCAAAATATTGGGGTACGTATGCAGGATCTTAAAGAGGGAGACCCTTCTTTCCATCTTCAATTATTTGAGCCAATAATTAAGTGGATTGTCAAATGGTAACATCAAACTCCCACGCTTGGAGTGAGTTGGTTGTTGGATGAAGATATTGAAGAAAAGGGTTTTTTGCAAATATTGGAATTTGGAAGCATATTGCCACTTTCTGGAATTTGGATTACATTTTTCTTGGAACCAAAAATAGCTGCCACATGTGTATATAATAACACAACACGCATGTCTTCTCTAAAATTAACACCACACTTTACTTGAAGATGAACACCGCGTTTGGATTGCCAGATGTATTATTATTATTATTATTATTATTATTATTATTGATGAATTTTGATAGGAAATGACTACCTACTTAGGAGGACTTGGTTTGGGGGAATCTTTGATTCTTGGTATTTATTTTGTTTTTCATATATAGGTGGAATCTTATCAATCAAAAAGTGGGTTTAAATTTTTTGAATTTAAAAAAAAAAAACAAAAAACCAGAGCTCAACGACTATGATGTTTCCATCGCCAACTATTGAGGTATTTTTTTACTACAGGCGTTGACGAAGAAAGGAGTTCAAATGCCACCTGAAGAAAGTAATTTTTTAATCTCTTCAAGTGTGTGTGTTTCTTTTCCTTTTAAAAAAAGAGGTACGTGTATAATCCATCTATTTCAAAATGTAAGTCTTTTCAGTATTTACATGTAAACTAAGGAGACAATCATTTAATGATTAATTTGTGTATTAAATGTTTATTTTTTTATTTATTAATTATTTTGGAACTATAATCAAAACTAGATGAAAAGTGATTAGCATTATTTATTAAGGAGAAAGTTGGGAAGTTAATCTTTAATTTACCTTGAAATTCGAAAACGACCTACATTTTGAAATATTGTTCCAAACCTAAAACGACTTACATTTTGAAATAGAGGAAGTATTAATTAAGAAGTACCTAAACTATTACATCGCATTCTATATAATATTAAATTATGTAATTGTACAACATCTTGCCTACTCCCTTTTAATCAGTGAACATTTCTTTCTTCTTCTTTTTTTTTTTTGGTTGTTCGCGTTGTTTGTCAAGCATTTCTGATCTTTCCACCCACCAAAATATTTCATTTTATTATAATGTTTTATATAGCTCCACTGAATAAATCAAGTTTCAAATACATAAAGTATCTTATTAGAACGAAGAGTGAATTTTTTAATAATAAACATAAATGTCTATGTTCAATTACGGGTTCAAGATAAAAGATTGTTAAAGTAAACATTTTTTTTAGGGTCGTGCTGTTGAGCGCCCTAATTTTTTCATTTGAACGCCCGAAAAAGACATACATGCCCCTCGGATTTGATGTTTGGCGAGGGAGAAATGAGCCACCCCTTTAAGGGGTGGCGAGAAAATCTTCGCCATGCGGCGAAGGTGTGGCGCCCTTCTGGGCGCCACATTGGTGCTGGTTGGCGAGCTTTTTGCTCGCCAACCAAAGGGTGGGTGGCGCCATTTTGTGCGCCACCCACCTTAATTACTTTTTTTTTATAATTTTTTTATTTTTATTTTATTTATTTAATTATCTTTAATTTAATTATTTTTAATGTATTTAATTAATTTCTTTTATTTATTTTAATTATTAGCTTAATGAATTTATTTAATTCATGTATTTATTTAATTCATGTATGTTCTTAATTTATTTATTTATTAAAGTTTATTTATTTGTTTGGTGGTTAAACAAATAATTTTAACTTAAATATTTAGAGAATTTTGCTTAATTATGTAGTAAATTTTAATAAAAATTTATCATTTAGTTATGTAAAAATTTTTAAACTTAAAAAAAAATTATTATTTAATAAAAACTAAAATTTATGAATTTACTACCAAACAAATTAATTATTCATCATCGGTGCATCTAATTGTCACGGGAATATTTTTTGGAAAAAATATAAAATTTAAAATACGTTGAAACGAAAAATTAAAAAGATTGAAAAAATATAAAATAATTTTATTTATTTTTTAATATTTTTAACGCCAAATAGATAAATAAAAAATAAACTTAAATAAATAAATAAATAAAATAATTAATTAATTAAATAAATTAAAAAAAAAAAAAAGTAAATTCGGTTTGGCGAGCAAAACGCTCGCCAACCGAGAGGGGTGGCGACAAATTTTGCGCCACCCCCATTTTGGGGTAAAGTTTCCTCTCGCCTCCCTTAATTGGGAGGCGAGAAAATTGTGCGCCACCCTTTAAAGGGTGGCGCATTTCTCTGCGCCGCCCGTGAAAGGTCTGGCGCAGACTCCATCGCCTATACCCTTTTTTTTAAAAAAAAATATGAATTCAGGGGTAAAATAGTCTTTTTGAGATTTTTTAGGGCGTTCAAATGAAAAAATTAGGGCCTTTAGTAGCCTCCCAGTTTTTTTAGGGTTTGATTTTCATGCGCATAGTTTGTTACAATTCCTAAACAAAGATTCACCAAAAAGTAATCATTTTAGGGTTTAGGGTTTATGAACAATTAATATACTTTAGTCCCAGCTGGGGTGGCAACAGCTGTGCAAGAAAGCAGCTGACTTCTTAGAATACGTGGATAACCTATCTGCGTCCAACGAGGACGTGACAAAATACAATTTATAAAATTACAATCAATTTTCGGTCTTACAATATAAGAAATCAGTTATTTAAAATTATAGGATACATTATAATATTCATATCAAACCATTTAAAATGACCAAAAAAAGAAACAGCTCATGAAAGCCATAATATTAACATCTAGACTGTAAATCAATTATATTTTTGAATTTTTGTATAATAATTAATTGCAGAAATATGTGAGTGCTGACTATTCTTAGGTCACGACCCACGTCTGTGGTGCTCCCCTCTCCATCTCTCTTCCTTTTTTCTTTTTTTTTTTTTTTTTTTTTGGGAGAGAGAAACACCCCTCTCCATCTCTATTCAAATAGTTTTAAGGAAAAACTGTATCCTGATAGCAGACATAATTATTATTCCATGATTCTTCCAGATTTTTTCTTGCTAGAAATATTGACTTGTTTAACGTCTCATTTTTCAGATTCTACTTATTCTTATAAATGATCCTTCGACTCTACATTATCTTTGTTTCGTTTCAACAGTGTTAATTCAATAAACATCATTTTTGTTTAAAAATGAAACGAGTATTACATTCTTCAAGTTATTCATCATTGTTCGTTTTGAAACCTTTTAGTAACGAATGGTATAAAAATTTAATCCAAAAAAAAAAAATTGGTACTCTCTCCGTCTCATAATTATTATCCAGTTTGAGTTTCAGTTTTAGTTCAAATTGTACTAAAAGTGAAATATAAACTGGACAATAATTTTAGGACACAGGAACTACTATATAAAAATGTGGGATATCGGGTATGTAAAGTACAGACTAAAAAGTATCAACATCCCGGTTCTTTTTCTTTATCTTTTGTGTGTTATTTTCGTATATTAATTAAATCCACAATAGTTATGGTCTAAAGATTCGAATAATTAGTTGCATACTTACCAGCGGATTACGAAAAGTTGCAAACAATACGATATTTATTGCTGGAAAAGGTCATTGTGTTGCGTTCACCAATATAAATTATCTTTTATTTAAATTGTTTATAATTAATTAATGTGATGGGGAGAATGTTTGATATTATTATAGCTGAAATAAGCCAAAAATTAAAGTTTTATATAGTATTATTTTTATTTTTGTTCATCTGGCTGCTGATCGTCCACAAGGTTGATCTGGCGTGCCGCCTGTCGTTTTTGTCTTCGGACGACTTCTTCTCTCCCACGTCACGTCCACCATCGGCCGACAATAACAATTTTGGGTCAATGGGGTCATACTGGAGAAGGGCTATTGGCCGGCAACCATTCCTTAGCTTTATAACCAATCTCACAAATTTTGTGTTCTCTTATTTCTTCTACTCCTCTTGTCATCAGTTAACAAAACATTTTTCACTTTATCCCGAAAGATTTTTCAACCCTATTATCCAGCCGCGATTATTTTCAACAACATTTTCTTAATTTTAACAAGTGAAGTTAGGTATAAAAAAAGTAATGGACCAAGAAAACACAACAAACACGCTAATTAATCACATTTACTATGTAATTAGCTAGAAAGATTCACTTACAAACTTCGATATAAGATTTCACACGAATGAACATTAGACGAAGCAAAATATGATAGGTTTCTAATATTTAGATATAACAAATTCATGGTTGGTGTTAAAAAAAAAAAAAGTTTCAAATGGAAAAAATATGTAAATGATGCAAACGTAAAAATAGTACTGGTAATAAAGTTGCACTATTAAGCAATAAGCTTTGCAAATTGCAATTATAGTTATAAGTTGACGGGTTTTCTGCAAAGTATAATGAGTCAACGTTTAATCTGTCACACGCATATGGTACGTGTGTCTCCATCACCTTACTTTAGTGGATTATAATTCCAAGTGAACGGTAGAAAATCGCGCGTGAAATTACACAAAAAATTGAGTGAAAAAAAAGACAGACTTTGGGAAGATAAGGGAAATCATCCAGAAATTTCCAACTTTTGATAACTTTATAGGTGCTCTCACTGCTCTGCGTTAGATGTGACACTGCTTTTCACTTTTTTCTTTGCCTGCTTATCATTGCTTTTTAAGTAATTACGTCATTATAATAACCTTAACCTTAACCCCACCAACCTAGTAAAGTTTAAACGACGTTGTACCAAGTCTGTAGGAACTCTCATTAAGGATGATCCACGCATTTTATAAAGCTAAATTTGACGGACTTTCTTGACAATTTTGGCTTTTGACAAAATCCTAAAGACCCAATTAATTTCTCACTAATCTTTACCCAAGGAATAAGCTAGGCTAGGAATATTCCCCACCTGACCACCCCTTTTTCTCCTTTTTTGCAACTAAAGCAATTACTAACTTAGAAGAATTATGCCGACTTGCCCTATATATTATCCCTGATAAGTTATTTTTTTAATTAATACAACAAACAAGGTAAAATCGATGCCATAACCTCACAGGTGATTCATGTCGGTGTTGTCTCATAACTTCAAAAAGGTTTTAACAGTGAGTGAAATCAAATGATCGACTGTAAAATTTATTTTTTGATTGACATTTCAAACAAAAAGTCCAATCTCCGGGGTTAATTTCCCTAATACAGCTTTGAAGCTTTTAACTGCTCCAGAACTAGAAGATTCTACATGGATTTATCTACAAGTTTTTGGAGGTTAAAAAAAATAAGAACACAAAAGATCCTTTTGCATCGACCCCCTTTTTATTTTTCTTAAGAAGAAAAGAACAGAAAATTTATCCCCTTGTAAAGTGGAAAATAGCAGTACTAATGGTTAATGGCGTAGCGACATTTTCCCCTTTTTCTTTAAATTAAACAACAGTGCTATTTTATCCAATTCAATATTGAGTGTGACAATGACATAATTAGGTTAGCTTTGTTTTTATGCGACATATCTTTTAGTTAGTGCTGTCGTGCATAACATTTTAGCCTTTTAGGTATGAAAATCCGGCTCTGACAAAAGCATCAACAAATCAGGTACACTAACATTTGACTACGGGTTTCCACGACCAGGTTAGAAACAAAAGCGTAATGATATTCATCTTTATTCACATTACATTCGGTCATTGGTTAAAAAATGAATGAAGGTCATATGAGCATTCATCATCTACATTAATGTAAAAGTCACACATGTATTTTTAATTATTATTATTATTATTATTATTGTTATTATTATTATTATTATTATAAAGTGGACGCAGTGATTTTTTTGATCACTCAACATAATCGGCGAGAAAGCCGACGAACTCCAAGATCCATTTTTTTTTTTGGGATATTGTTTTCAAATTTGATAAATTTACTAAAAATGATACTCATCCAACCTAGTTAAAAATTAAACCATTTAATTTTTTTCACTGATAACTGAAAAAAAAACGTGCTATTTTATTCTCTGATTTACCATCATCGATATAAAAATCAGTGCACATATTTTTTTCGTGAAAGTTGTACCGTCGATTTTTTTGTCTTTCTAGAAAAGTCGACGAAAAAATCGATGAATGTCGCAATTGATTTTTTTTTTTTTTTGCACGATCTTTATAATTTTTCCTTTTTCTTTTATGGAATTGACATCTGGTTATTAGAAATTTCCATTTTTCAATATAAAAAATAGATTTTCTTGATTATTATTAGTTTCATAAATTGTGATTTTTTTTTGTAATCACATACGTTGATCACTATTTTAAAATGATTATTCATTTTAAATTTTCATTTCTAATATATTTTGTACTAAAAGTGACGTTTTAAATTGGACAATAATTTAAAGACGGAAGAGTATTAGTTTATATTTAGAAGACAACAAACACTTAACAGCTCTAGCGATAACACGAATTATCGGGGGTTACAATCGACATAGTCCTGAACATGAATCCCAATATTTTCTTCAGTCCATTGTTCACAGTTCTAGTTATAAACGTCGTCACAATTTGTTGTTAGAACCATTATAAACCGATTAAAATTAATTCCACCATGACCAAACACAACAGCCAAATCAAATTTTGGTAATAATCCAATATCTTTATTTAAGTTTTCCTTTGTTTGGTAAAACATCAATGTAAGTCTGAAATTGAAATTTAAAAAAAGAAAAAAGAAAAGAAAAAGCCTGATTACGTCAAAGGAGTGGCCAAACATGGTACAATAATGGGATGGTGATTTAACTTATTTTGCCATCCCCCTTTTCCAATGAATGTCCCGTTTTGGACAAGTGTACTTGTGCGATATATTATAAGACACCAAAAGCTAATAAAACAAGAATGCTTCAAAATTTAGTTAAGCTCAACCATTTTGAATGAGGAGGATAAACGTTCCAACTTACTCCCTTTTGTTCCCTTCTCCCAATTTTCACAAAGAAAATACACGGTTATATTTTGATGGGCTCTTAACCAAAGGGACTAAATTAAAATATGTGCTCCCTCTGTCCCATAATTATTATTCAGTTTGGATTTTCATTTTTAATTTAATTTGTATTAAAAATAAAAATCGAAACTGGACAATAATTTTGAAAATGTGAGAGAGTACTAAATTTTCATACAACAGGCAGAAAGCATTCTGGAAGTGCCGAGTGACTGGTTTTCCTATTGAGTCACTCGAACCATTGTGATTCACTGATTCTTCCAAACAATATTTTCAAAATGACATCACTTACTTAGGCTTTCTTTCTTTTTCTTTTTTTTTTTATTAAACGAATTACGAACAAAAAAACAAATGAAGTTAGATAAAATCATAGGTAAGGGAAAAGAGTGAGTAAAATAAATTGAGCACACGTGGTGGACTGTCCACCCAAAAAAAAATGTTATGTTACTAATAGTGAGAGTGGTCCATTGTTGTTTGATGCCGACTTTCCTTTGTCCTCTTTATCTGATGACATATTTACATGGATCCCTTTCAAAAATCCAGAAAGAATTCATTGATGTGGGCCGTTTACACATAAATAAAATGCTTATTGTTCTTCTTGCCAATTGCGTAAGGCCATGGAACAAGTTTATGAGCTGGAAAGCCCAAATTACTTTCGGTATTCTGGTGACCACCTTCGGCAAAAACTGTCCGTGTTTTCCCAAGTTAACAATATAAAATTATTAAAAAAAAATAAAATAAAATATGATAAAAGTAGTAAGCTGCTTTGGTTTCCTTAGTCGAGAGTTCTTGGTAATGGAAAGAGCAATTCAATTCATAAGCATAAAATTCTAAAATTATTCCTTTATTATTATATGCACCCGACCGACTATGAAACTAGGTCATTGATCGCATTAGATCCATTTAGAATGCCGATTATTATCCCTAATACAAGAGTTTCAACTTGTGGAAGCTTGGAACATCAGTGACACCTACTTTGTATGACATACCAAACATCTGAACAGCCTTTTACAAAAGAGACTGCAGAAATTGACTCTTTAATCATTGGCAAGTGTCGCTTTTAAGGAATTGTGGTAAGCGGCTTCGTGCGTGTATTCATAACTCAAGTTATACATCTGAAGATATTATCAAGACTGTGAATAATGCTCAATAGTACGTAAATTAATAACTCAACTAGTATATCGGAGAGTTAGCAGTGACCGATGGATATTTTAATTTAACCTAATCACGTCGTGCTACAAGAGACTAACAGTTCCTAAGTAATCTATATCATGCCATTGCGGAAAAAAAAATAAAATAAAATACGTGGCATAAGGATTATAAAGCTGCGGACTTACAAGGTGAGACTCTGAGGGATCAGACCATGTAAGTCATCCCAACTTGCATTATATTCGTGTGAGGAACTTTCATTGTTGCAGCACCACCTCTGCAGTTCCTTCTTAGGAATCCATAGAAGTAGTTTATGACTAGCTTTTTAAGGAACCAGGACGTTTTCTTTGCCCTCACATCACCATGCCCAAGTAAGTATGTAAATCCGGAATCAGTAGCTTCTTTCAGGGCTGAAAGCTCATACTCCAGGCTAGGATCCTCGTCTATTGACATGACACTAGCTGGCAATGCAGGAGTTTCTTCGGACATTGAAGTTCCTGCTTCTTCCATTCTATCATCATGCATCAACGGGATCCTTAGCTCTCCAATAGTATCTACATCTGCAGGTCCTGAATCCCTCGATAAAACAGAAATGCTATCCAACTCAGGTTCATGCACATTGCTCTCCAATTCAAGTTCCTGAGCTTCCTTCCTCAAATACTTCTCTAGGCTCTCCACGAGAAGTTGCTCAAATGCATGGTGATCTTCCTTCCTGACATCTTTATAGCCATAGCGAGCAACACAGCGGAACATGTGGTAATCTTTTGGACAAACCCTCCGGAACATAAATCTTTCTTCTTGAGGCACAACTGGGACTGGGACATATTTAATGCAGACAAACACAATAGTGGAATGTATAGCTGGAAGTTCCAGCAAGAACCGTCCAAACACGGATGGAACGCCTTGAACAAGTTCATTATACAATAATCCAACACCCGGCACTCTTACTGTTCCTAGGCTAGAGCCTAGCTCAAGCATGAGATCCATTGAGATTTTTTCCCGGACTTCACTTTGATATTTAAGCACACTCCCATAGTTCCAGGTATACATTATACAAAGGAAGAAAGAGGCAAACACAAGTGGAAGCCAACCCCCCTCCATAATCTTGGATAAAACCGCAGAAAGGTAAATGAGCTCAACGGTTCCAAACACCATAAGAAAACATAAAGCAAGAAACAGGTTGGTTTGCCAAATTAGAAGCATCACGAGGGTCACCAAACTAGTGCTCACAATCATAACACCCACCTCTGCAATTCCTGTTCAAAAAAACGATGATTGATTTAGAAAATCACTGATTATCTTAGTCTTTTCTGAAGGACGTCAAGGGCTTTTTTAAGGCTTTTTCAGCATCCAAATGCCAGGAAGAAATAGAAAGCTTGTAAAATTGATCACTTACCATAAGCATTAGCTATATCCGTAGTGCTTTGAAATGAAGCAACCACGAGAATGCACATAATCATCAAAAACCAATTGATGACAGGAATATAAATTTGGCCCATCAACTTCCTGGACGTGTGAACTATCTTCAATCTGGGAAAGCATCCAAGCGCCATAGACTGCTTGATGCATGAAAAAGAAGCGGATATCATAGCCTGACTAGCAATTATAGCAGCAATTGTGGCTATCACGAAAACTGGCCAGAATAGAGGATCTGTTTTTTTGGCAAAAGAATAATTAGCTAAATGATATGTAGATGATTGAAAGCTTGTAATATTCTATTTCACAATTCATTTTTAAAAAAAATAGTATGGAGAATAAAGGCAGGCATTAAAAACTATTACCTGGAACAGAATCATAGAATATCCGATCAACAGAATGAGGGTTTTTGGTAAGGTATGCAGCTTGTCCCATGTATGCAAAGAGAAGACACGGAAATACCACACTAGTGAAAGCAATCTGAGGGATCCATGTAAACAACATATGTCAGTGACTTTAGAACCGAGAAAGAATAATACGAAGGATGCTAACAAATGTTTGAACCAAAGTTATCAAAAAATTTACTTGTATTGATGGCACAGAAAAGTGGCCCAAATCAGCAAACATTGCTTCAGCTCCTGCAATGAATGGTCATTAGTACTTTTTCCAAAAAAAAAAAATGGTCATTAATATGTTCAGACTTAAAATCTGAACCTCAAGAGTTTACTCTAGAGCACAAGATACGGTACTAGATTATTGGCTGGAGTTTTTCTTTCTTTTTTAAACAACAGAAGAGGTCAAAACTCAAAACCATGATATGTAACATTACCACGATCCAGGGACATTCTAAAATGCACTGATAGCAAGTGAATTCGAAGAAAGGATATCCGAAGGAAGACCTTGAATTTTAAAGGTATTTCTTTGGCACAGAGAACCAGTTAATGGAAAATTCATCCAAGTTGTTCATAAGGCGCAGGAATTCACCCTCCAATCATCCATGGTTAATCATAATCTCCCCAAATTTGCATGATACAAAATCATTTCACACGTCTCAACTATGGAGCTCGAATAACTACTCTGAGCCCCAATAACATCACCCTACGACCCATCAGATGGCAGCATTTGTTACTACTAACCCAAACCCCAGAATTACCATGAAAATCAAAGATGCATAAAGTAAAATGACTCAGCGCATAGGATACACAGCAGAGTGAATAATAAGAGACACCATAGAGATATGGAGGAACAAACGATGATACGCAGTCATCAATGTTGTGAACCAAACAACAAAAATTGAAAATTCTTCAATTTGATAAATTCTTTTCTACAAAATGACATACAAACTGAGCATTCAACTTTGTTGACTTGCCCAACCCTTCGGTTACAATCGATGGCGAAAAAAGAATGCCAGACATAACATAAAACCAAAATCCAGGATGAAAACTAGGGCCATTTAACATTTAATTTGGGTAGGACATAATCGTAGAGACGATGACCTAATATTACAACCATTCAAGAAGCCTTCTTAATATTATTAGACAAGCATGTTTAGAATCAATTATCAATCAGAATCTCTTAGGCATGGGCATGGTTTACCTGTAATGCATAAGACACATCCACCGAGAGCAGACCATGCCTTACTGGTATTCTTTTGGAAGAAAAGGTATATGTAAATTGGATTCAAAGCCCTTACAACAGTAACATTATGTGTGATCAGATTGTAGATGCCAATGGACCCCAAACTAAAAAACCATAAAGCAAGTGCAGGAGCGAATGTGAAACCAACTTTACTTGTCCCAAACCGCTGTATGCTGAACAGTCCCACAAGGATAACTATCGAGGTGATAACAAGAGCCCCTGCCAATAAAATATAAATCAGTGGTTTCTCTCATCAAACATTTTCAGCAAGTGTAGCATCATTGTTGAAGCAGTTACGAAATTCTCAAGGCATTTATGTCATGAAGTTGGTCAATTCTTGGAAGGTCAAAAGAGATGAGTATATGTACTGATATAATGTACTGCCAAAATGTGTAACAAGGAAGCTTACGCACCTGTCCCAAATCCCTTGATTGGACCTTGCAGACCACTAACAGCTGACATAACTGCAGCAGATAATTTTTGTTAGCAAGTGACCTCCGACTGAAAGCCGGCTACATCATAGACAATCAAAACTTGATATAAGCTTTAATTCTCAATACCAAACTAGTTATCATTTGATAGCCATTTTGCATTAGGACTTAAGCAAATTCTTCTGGAGGTATTTTAAGAAAGCATGACACTCATCTGCCCTGCTAAAGCAAATTACTCACTCCAAATCATATGCGTCTTTGTGAAATTTTCTACCACTATCAAATGAATGATAATTACACTTTCATTGCCCGTAAAAGGAAATGGCTTCATTAGGAAGCATATCCCAGCTAAATAACTGAAATGAACTGTGTTTTTCTAAACTTTGGTGTTCCAATATTATGCGAAACAACTTATGCCTAGTCAGCTGCTTTGTTTAAGATTGAATGGTCTTCCATTAAACAAGAGTATGAATTACAAAATAACTACGAAATTTAAATTCATCACAGAGGGAAAAAAGTTTAAAGGACTGCTGAAGACCTGATATTGCTGGAGTCAAAATACCATCCCCAATTACCATGGATGTTCCAGTCAGAACTATGAGCAACAGAAGGGTTTTGAGGGATGATTTACGCTCCAAAGCCTCCTTAATATTCAAAGACCTTTCAAGTTCTGGAGTAGGTAGTTTGAGCTTAAAACTGGAGATATACTCATCAGCCTGTTGCCGATTTGGAAGAAGGCTAACTTTTGCATATCTACAGATCAGCGAATACAATGCAAATGTTCCTCCTGTCAATTCGAATGATAATTAATCAATCCTCTGTATGCTTCAAGGATACTCAACCATTAGTAAACCTCTCTAAGCAAAAAGTTGATACCTTCCCCATTGTCGTTTGCTTTCAGCACAATGAAAACATACTTAAGTAAGGGAATGAGAGCAATTGTGTACATAACTAGTGATAATGCTCCCAGGACGTCAACCTCTGATGTGATGGACACTTTGCTAAACACATCAGAAAAGACATACAGAGGGCTTGTGCCCATATCACCATAGACCACCCCCAAAGTTTGAAATGCCAATGCAAGTGTTTGCCACAGAGAAGCATCCTGATATTCAAACAGAAACAATATGAAAATCAAAATCTATATGCTACGCAATTAATTTTTCTCAAACAGTAGCGAGTAAAGATGAATCTCAGAATAGTGTTACATGCTTTTCCTAATAGTTGAGCCAATTGCCTACCACGAAATTTACTTAGCAGGCTTATCCCCGTGAACCTGATCCTTTTAATAACGCACTGTTTCATTTACACTCATTAAAAGAAGTTGGTATAATTACCACAATAATGAAATTCGAAAGATTTTCTCCTCCACTTAGTCTTAGAACCGGAAGCAATTTTTTGACTAGAGCAAGGAATTTTCAATAAATAAGACAGGTTTATTTCACCTTTACTAATTTTTCTCATGAAAAAGGACTCAATGAGCAGAAGTGATGAGGGATACATGAAGTTTTGAACTTGTCCTAGAAACACGAAATTAATGTAGGTGATCTTTGAGGCAAAGGTGGCAAGGGATGAAGATTAATCGTAGTTTTGTTCAGTTTTAATCTCTCCAGAAAGGAGAAGATTGAAGAGTGAAACCTTTCCCACCAGAAAAAATAATTCAGAAGGGAGAGAAACCAGCTTTCCAAGTGTTCAAGCCAAAAAAAGGAGGTGTTGAAGTACTAAATTACACAAATGCAACTCTTAAAACAATTTTTTCAGACATGTTCTATCGCTCCAGTGAAGGGAGAAGTATCATCAACTAAAACAATAAAGTGTCCTGATAATGGATAAGAGTTTTGGAGGCAATAATGCAGAATCCGAGACCAAATTCGCCCCCCCAAAATACTTAACCCTAAAAAGCACCTGAACTTTATTCTCCCGACATATGCATAACCTCCACTTACAACACAAAAGACACAGACCAAAAAAAAAAGTCATACCAAGTAAAAGTGCGTCAATGATGAAGAAATGAGACATCAGAAAAAGGAGGAAAAGACTGCCAGTTTCAAGTTGAACCTTTTTATGATGTCCATGAGCTCCAGAAATCTCCATAGCTTCAACATCAAAAGAGTCCACTCTCTTTGGCCGCTTGGCAAGCCTTCTCCTAATAGATCCATAACCTTCCTTGATTTCATCATCACCAAGCAATGACCATGGTGGTGACCCTGAGTCCACCTCACTTCCATCAACCCATCTGGGCTCCCCACTTCCCCCACTGTTTCTACTTATCAATCTAACACTGGCTTCTTCAATCTCTTGTTTCATGGTTTCCCCCTCAACAATCCCACCCCGGAACAAATAACAATGACATCAAAGTTGAGACAACAACAGCAATGACAGCATAAAATGATTCCTTCAAAGCATAATATTATTCGCTCAATTATTTCCTGACAAAATCTGCAGAAGTACACTGGCCAATCTATCTACTCCGGTCCGGACTGGCTCAGACAAAAAGGCAGCTCTTATTGGTCCAAAGAGTCCAAAGTTCATACTCAACCTTAAAACAATATGGAAGAAAGATCCAATTTTTTATTTCGCGTCAGCATCGTTTGTAATAGGAATAAACAAAAAGTAATAACAATTAGAAAAATCTTCGACTTTGACACACTTGTTTGCACCAATCAAGACATAAAACAAGAATTTCTAAAGAAATTCTGAAAAGGCCGTTTTTGCAACAAGTTTTTTACTGCTCAGGGCTGTAAACTGTAGATTATTGTGTTATTTAACAGAGTTCGCTGACAAACGTTGAATGGTTAGTACAAAGCAAGATATTTGTGACTTATGAATTCATCGCACCAGACGATGACGAAATGAGCTAAAAAAAGCCACCAACCTCCAAGCTAGTAGACAACAACATCATTTTCCAGTTTCCATTTCCCAATCTCCATTATTGGTGACATCAACTTCAATGCTAAATCGTGTGCTAATTATCGAAAAAGGACATGGAAATCATGGATTAAGTGGGATTATGATTGTACTTTAATCTAATTGCGATCGACATATTTGGGTGATAAAGAATAGGGTATTAAATAAATCATTCAGAATTTCAAATAAAAATGATATCTTTGGATTTGGCATAGAGTGAGCAAAGAGAACAAAGCTTTTAATAATAGTAGTAATCATGATGGAGTTGGCAATGTTTGGTTTTTATTCTTTGAAAGAATGTGAGAAATTGTATTGATAATGTGAAAATGCACATTACGAAGATAAATATACTCCATTACCTAAAAAAAAGGTTTTCCAAAAAAAAAAAAAAACAAACCCATTCCAAAACAAATAAACAAAATAGATTTTGCAATGAGATTGGTAATTTGATGAATACTAAGCAGTTATTGGATACTACTTAAAAACAAAATAGACTGTTTATTGCAAAGTGAAGATAGATTGAACAGGACATGTGCAGCACAGCAGCAGTGTAATATCAATGTCAGTAAAATCATTTGTCAACTCAACACATTCATCACGGACGTGAAATTTAACGTATTGTGTTGATTGATGCATGGGTAATTAAATTAGGCTGGCCCCGGGTTAGTTTTACATCACTATAACAACGTACGAGAATGGTTGGTGCGAAAAATAATACTTCCTCCGCTAATATATTTTGATTTTGTACTATGTTTAATTTATGATATCTTTTTTAATTGAAGAAAAAATTTTAAAAATATATTTTCAAATTCATTATGTATTTCTAATTATTATGAAATATTTTTAAGATTTTTATTTCAATTAAAAAGATATCTTTAATAAAATTTATGACGAAATCAAAATGCCTTATAATAAGGACCGGAGTATCCCTTTTGTACAGTATGTTATAAATTTGTGAAAAAAAAAAAAACCTTCCTTCTGGAAAATGCAGATCTCATTATAAAGAAGCCAAGTTGCTGCATTATAGACCCTATAATCTCGAAGTGTCATCGAATGCGCACCTTCATGAACCGGCATATTTGATGTTGTGATTGTAATTTATAGAAAAAGAAATTCTGTAATTGAAATTATTATGTGGAAAATAGTTATTACCTGAAAAGGGGTCATATAACTCACAGTATCCCTCGTATCATATGGTGTAATAAAACAAATTTCGCTCTCCCGTCCCAAAAATAATATTGTCATGCTTGTTGGAATTGCGTGTAACGAACATGACTATTTCTAAAGGGTAGAGAGGAAAAATATAAACCCTGCTGCTTTATTAATATATGATTATAACTAAGGCACAATATGTTATTATAATATTACAATCCAAATTTTAATATCCCCATTTTGGAATTGCAAAAATTTTTTTATATGGCACATTGTTGCATGTAGTTGGAGCGTGGTATTTAATTTGGCATATCATGAGTTAACATACAAAATTAGAAGTGCAAGAGCAATAATGAAACCGAAAACGAAAAATATCATTGAAATTGGTATCGCTATTGATTTACATGGTATAAATGTGTTTTTAAAACACGGTTATGAATGATTCATTGTAATACAAGTCACCAAACTAAAGCCCTAATCACTTGTTGAGAAAATCCAATACAGAACATCTGTACTCACTTTTTTAATGTAACCAACCAATGAAGACTAATATTTGATTTTTTTGGACTCTATGAATTTCTTTCACTCTCTTGTAAAAATATTACCTTTCCCGTTTTTATGTGTAGGATGTACAGCTGACGCAGTACATCGGCTGTACTGAAGGTTTACTCTCATTTGTCACTACTTCTATCATTGTTATAGATACAACAATCATACAATTCAGATATGTTCTTTTTGGTTATTTCATGTTCTATTGCGAAAAATGTTTGAATGATGTAAAAATTAATAAGGTATGCATGAAGACCTCTGACCTTTTCGGTCAACATGGGCTTATAAGGCATTTGTACGAAATGGCCCATTAATGATAAGGGCCCAACAAATGACATGAGGTCCTTTAAAGTTTAACCAAAGGCCAAGGGCCCAATATAAACTGCGTCCCTAAACACGCCTTTTTAAACTCCTAATCCAAACTTCTGGAACCCTCTCAAAGCAAAAGCTTCGAATTCGAACTAGTTTTCGAACTCCGTTTCTCTCTCCAAGGGTTTAAGCAAGATTTTCGATTATTCCCCCTTCTCGATTCTTATCACCTTCAAATTCACCAGGTCAGCTTCAACTATGAATTCTCGAGGTTCTTTTTGCTTCTGAAATATCTGGTTTTTGTTTTTCTCTTTTCCCTTTTTTTTCGGGTTTTGAAACTGAATTGATTTTTAAGCTTTTCAAATCCATGGTTTGAGCTGGTGACAGAAGATGTCGAGGGTTTATGTGGGGAATTTGGACGAGCGGGTGACGGAGAGAGACCTCGAGGATGAGTTCCGCTTCTTTGGCGTTCTTCGCAGGTATCCATTGGTCTTTATTTTATTTTTTTTCCCATTCAAGAACTTGCTTTCTGCAACTAATGGAGTTTTGGCTGTAACAATGGCGTAGGTTTTCATGATGAAATCTGGACTCAATTTGCCTGTTATTCTTGGTTTTGGTGAAACTGAGGTTGTTGGTGGTGTTTCTTACTTAGATGTAAGATAAGTTCAAGTATTTATCCAACAGTCAAAGACGCGTTATAAAGATTTTAGATAAATAATACACATTAGACGTTTATCTTGTTTCCAAATTGGAGAGGCTGATTCCTTCAATAGAGGATATATATGTTTGATAATTATTTGGGTGCGGGTCCTTTTTTTTTTTTTTGTGAATGATGCATTCGCCTATTAGTTTTTGGCTGGATTTTTGTATTTAATTTTTATTATCATTATATTATTATTATTTGGAAAGGGTTGGATTTTCTTATTGAGTCCTCATGTATGGTTTGGGTTCAGTGTATGGGTAGCTCGAAGACCGCCAGGTTATGCTTTTGTTGAGTTTGATGATCACAGGGATGCTGAAGATGCCATACGTCAATTGGATGGTAAGCACATTGTGAACTTTGAGGTGCTTCGATTGCTAGTTTTCAGAATTATATTTACTCAAAATTTATTCTCTTTTCTTTTTTGGTTTCAATTTTTTTCCATCCTTAACTTTTGTTGTTTTTATAGTTTCACTCAAATGAGTTGAGAAAGTGCATCACTAATGATTATTTGATTTCACAGGCAAAAATGGATGGCGTGTGGAACTATCCCACAACTCGAAGGGGGGTGGCGGCGGTGGCCGTGGTGGTCGAGGTCGTGGTGGGGATGATCTGAAGTGTTATGAGTGTGGAGAGCCTGGTCATTTTGCCCGAGAATGTCGCATGCGTGTGGGACCGAGAGGATTAGGTAGTGGAAGGCGACGAAGCCCCAGTCCTCGGTATCGTAGGAGTCCAAGTTATGGACGGAGGTATGTCTGTTCATTTTTATTTAGGACAAGTTGCCTGGTAGCACTACTTAAATCAATCCTGTGAATTTCCTCTAGGTTCACAGAAAAGAATTTGTGTTCAGTCTTGGAACTCCTTTACTTTTACCCCATTATTTGTTGATGGCTTGGCCCAACTGCAGTTAATACTTTCTAGATCCTGTTATAATAGGATATGGGCCCTATTTGTTGATGGCTTGGCATTATTCATATCTGATTTGTCAGTAATAGTATGTTACAGTTCTTTCTGTTCGTCCGTTTCGGTGGAGTGTTGTGTTATCTCTTTTTGTGATTTTCCATGGTAATGGTGGAGGATAACTCTCTTGCATAAAACTTCACCCTGGTTTGTCTACTGAGAAGTGGGGAGTCCTGTTTAAGGATGCTTTCTGAGTCCTTTTTATACTGCATTCAGCTGAGTAGTCTGCGTAGGTCCTAGTTGCAATAATAATATTATAGTGTATCATTTAGATGCTGAGTGCAATCCACTGGTTGCAGGAGCCGCAGTCCTCCAAGGAGAAGATCCCCGCGCCGCAGCAGTTTATCTCCAAGACGCGGTCGTACCTCCAGCAGGTCTCCGGATTATCATCGTGGTCATAGGCGATCCCCTTATGCTAAAGCGTATGTGCAACTTTTTAAGTTGAGGCGTCTAGGTCATTTTCATTTGGTGATTTTATTTTCATATATCGTGTTCACATTTGCTTAATTCTATGTATTGTTTTCACCTTTGCAGCTCACCCCCTCGTGGAAACTACAGCAGATCGCCAGCACGTCGTCGTGATCCTCGTGAACCAGTCTATGCCAATGGGTCCGTCGCTTTTTCTTGATCTGCATTTTTTTGGGGCCCAAAATTTGGGAGATGTTGAATCATCCGAGCCTGCTTGCTTACTGCCCTTCCTTAGTTTAGCTAATTGAAAAAGTTTTTTATTCTTTCCTGCAGAGATTGATGTGGGACAGTAGTTTTGACAGCGAGCTTGGAGTACTTGATATCTACTGCGTTTTAGCTACGAAGAACAACAATATATGTGTTTTAGCTAATGATTGGTTAAATGGATTTGATATGAATCTGGATCTTATTCTGCAGTACTTAGATGGCAAAAGAACTATTTGACACTCGGTGCATGGTCTGCTCTGTTCAGCTTACTGAAGTTCTGTAGGTGTATTTCATACTTCAAACTAAAGACAAGTTACTGTTATTCTAATGCTGTTCATTATGGTGTGATTGCTGTGAAATGTTGCTAAGATTGGGCATCTTCTGTTTCTGTTTCTTTGAGGTGATTAGCGGCCATCATTTCGTTGCTTCTGTTTCTTTGTCCCTCATGAAATATTGTCATCCACTTCTCTGCGTGTCATCACTGCTTCTCCTTCTTAGTCCCCCGAATTACAGCCATCCGTATCTCTGCATCGCATGATCTGGCTGACATTGTATTGAGTGCATTTGCAAGTTTGAGTTTTTGATTATACAAATTAGAAATGCGGTTCTTCTATGCTTTTGTGTTAAGATCTTGCTTTTTGGGCAGCTTTTCATAGATAAGTTTTGAGCTGCAGAGATAAATCATCTTCTGCCCTTGAATGGCATCAGCTCTCCTTCTCGATCATGCTGTGTACCATCATTTTTGTGGTAGATTTTGAGCCTAAAGCACGATGGCCAGTTCACTCTTGAATGAACAACTTTGAAGCCCCTAACTTTGAATTACTTAGTTGCTACCTAGATGAGATACTTCTGCTTCACGTCTGACGACATCAAGTTTAGTTGCATGGACACAGTGATGGTCACTCTCCTGGCATCGAGCTAAAGTTATGAAAAGTTATGTTGTAGTCACTGTTGGTTAATTTGCAATATATTGTCTTTCACGTCTCATGACATCAAGTTTTGTTGCATGAACACAGTGACTATCACTCTCCTGGCATTGAGCCAAAGCTCTGAAAGTTATTGTAGTCACTGTTAGCTGATCTGTAATATATCGTCCTTGTAGGGTGAAACGGTAGTTTGTGTTTGATTTTCAAAATGTATTCTGATGTTTACTAGTTTGATGAAAAGACGAACTGGGAAGAATATTTCTTGATCCACCAGTACGAAATATAAAATCAGAATTAGAATAAAGAATAGTGATTGGGTCAGAAAAAGTATTTGGATCTTTGCGGGAAATTATAACCTAGATTGGATCAGAAAGAGTATTTTGACTGGACAATTTCATTCCTAGTTTAAACATTAATGTGACTGGATAATGATCATTCATCTCAACGTTTACCTACGACTGGACAATTTCATTCTTTAAGATATTGATATTGAAAAGTGTTACATACAGTAAACAAAACTTCTGAGGTTTTAGGTTCAAGTTGTTAACATAAAGAGGTCTTCTGAGGTTTTAGGTTCAAGTTGTTAACATAAAGAGGTACTGTAATAAGGTTAAATTTGTTATCGGCCAACAGCTCTGCCCTGGGCTAAAAATGGCAACATCTAAATTTATGGTCCCTGCATCTAACCGGATTCAGTCATGTGAATTCACTAAGAATTTATTTTTAGAGAACGTAACTTCCTCAGTAATATGCGCAGATTACATATGTAACTTGGGTCGACAAAGAAATAGTACCGCAAAATAATTTAGGCAAGAGTTATATTCCCTTGCCTTGACTAACACGATCTGTCTAAAGTCGACTTAAAACAGTTGCTGGGTAACTGAAATTCTACAGACCGTTGAAACTGACAATAGTAGTCAAAATCTGCTTCATCTGTCAAATTCTTCGCCTCAAAACACATCCTAAATAGGGCAGAATAACTCACACGAAACAAATTATCCAGATGGCACATTGTGAGAACCAGGAAAATTGTTGCTTAGTTTGCTTTTGAGTCGATTACTTTCTTTGCAAACGATGGCAAACAGAAAGCTGCAGAATGGATCTGTTTTCCAAAAGAGAGAACAGGAAAAGTATCAGTATGAAGCAAATCATTTTGCTACAGAGATCAAAAGGGCAACAAACACGTGAATAGTTACCTCAGCATTGTAGAACTTCAAGGGCCTATTAGATTTAGACTGGCTCTCATCTGCATCAATTGGGTTAACTGGGTGCTTAAAATCCACTGGTGGTCCCTCAGTCGAACAAAGCATGAAACCAATCACTCCACTGCAAAATATGTTTAACAAGAGTAAGATTATCAGCAGTTGAAGGTGAAGAGAAAAATAACGGCAGAACTTGTCAACATCAAACTGTAGATACAGGATGCTGAAAGTAAGATGTTGCTGACGTTATTAGCTATATGATAAATTTTATCAACCGAAAAGGAACTAAATTGGGAAGCTTAACCCCCGAGAATTAATCATGCACGTGCTACTATGCCATGCTCATAGAAGACATATATTCCAGCTGAAGGGAAAAAGAGCATGCCTTGGGTAAGTAGGAACCGTTGTCCATGCGTAATTAACAGATCCCTTGAAAATCTGCCTGCAGTTGGCAACAATGTCTTCAATGATGTGCATGTGAAGCCATATGCTTTCAGCTTGTGTGCAGACAACTCCCCCAGGACGAAGAGCCCTTGCAACTGACTCAAAGAAAGGCTTTTCAAACAACTCTTGCGCTGGGCCTGAGTGACAAAAACTCAGCATTACTATCTGACGAGGATACTGAAGAAGCAACACAATTAACAGATCGAATTTTACCAATTGGATCTGAAGAATCCACTATTACTGCATCATATGTTCCTTCAGGAACAGCCTTCAAAAAAGCAACTCCTGCAAGGATATGTAAATTAACAACAGCAGATGTAGTTATTTCAAGAGAAGCAGAAAAGACAAACAATTTATGAGAGCAAAAGAATTGCAACTTTACCGTCACCAATATGAAGTACAACACGGGGATCCTGGTACCCAACAGCAACATCAGGAAAAAATTCTTTAGACACCTGGTAGGAAAAAGAAATTAGTACATATTGAAAATTTGTGATCAAGGGGCAGCAGTCAAAATGTTCACAACTTTTCATTCAACTTTGAAGCAAGCGCAGACGTATGGCAAAGAAGTACATTGATAGCTGTCTATAATTCAGAAAAAATGTCTAACTAGCATTGACAGAAATCCATAAACAAGTGCCTGAGCAAAATGAGGAATGCCGGTGAAATAGAAGCATAGAACAGCATTGCAAGATCAATATGACTCACATCAACCACCATCTTGTCAATCTCGCAGATATCTATGTGCTCAACAGAAGAATGACGGGCTACTTCACGAAGGACACCACCATCTCCTCCTCCAATAACCAAAACCTGTTAACATCAAAAAAACTAAATGTTATAATGTAGGAAACTAAATTATTAGCTACCTACCAGTGCATATTTTGTTGGCACAACTACAAATAACTTGGACAAGTATGGAACCCCCCAGAGGAACGAATAGGATGATATGTGCAAATTCTCTAAAGTAAATTCAAATACACATACACTACTATAGTAGCTTTCTATTACTAGGAACAATTAAGACACTTATCCTCCAGAAATTCAAAAAGGAAACTAATTAGCAGCATGGGTGAAAATGTGTGGAAACTGTAACATGTTTACTCTGTCATGCACAATAATCCATTGTGAAAAGGAAGTTGGTCCTTAAAGCAAATGTAGACGTATTGGACATCCATGAAACATAAGTAAATTGCAATACCAAAGAAATTGAACCTACCTTCTTGGGGTTGGGAATGGAGCAGAGTGGGAGATGAGTAATCATTTCTTGATAAGCACATTCATCCCTTTCTGTCAACTGAATCACTCCATCCAGAACAAGCACTTTCCCATAAGTAGATGACTACAGAAACAACCAACCACCCAACCAGAATGAGCATGTTTCATACAGACAGTTAAACAGACTGCAGAGAAAAGAAGGAAAAAAAAAAAAAAGAGGCATACTTGCAGAAATTAACTTCTCTAAAAAGTACCTGAAAGACCATGACGTCCTGGTAATCAGATTTTCCCTGAAATAAAATCTTTTCTACCTTTAAGGAGTGTGCCTCTCCTGCAATTCCAAAACACAACGTATCAAAACCCTCGAGCACCGCTCAAAACCCAATTCTTAGAATTCACATAATCAAATTCTCCAGCAAACGCATATAATTCTATTACAACCCGTAAAAAGAATTAATCCATTCACGCATGTTATGCTGAATAATCAAAAGAAAAACAACAAATCCCCCAAATCACACTAAATACATGTATATATATATATAACTAATAAATCTTTCATGAATGAGAACGCAGACATACACAAATAAACAAGCTCCAGACATACACAAATAAACAAGCTCCGGATAAATGTAAAAGGAATAAAAAAAAAGAAAAAAGGAAAGAGGCAACTAGTTACTGACCAGGCCACATTGGGCTAATCTCGGAAAACCATCCCGGAATGACAGAAGAAATACAGCTAGGCTGGGCGGCCATATCAGCGACAACACCACCACCGTTTTGAACCTCTTCGTCTTCACGGGCCCTTTTCACGGGCAATTCAGTAGCAACCCCAGTTTGCTGCTCCGCCATTTGAAGCTCTTCCTCTTATACAAAACCAATCAGAGAATAGGAGATAAAAAGGAAAAAAAGAAAGGAAGAATAAATTCCCAAACGGCGCAGAAAAAAAAAATCTGAAAACTGTAGAGAAAGAGAGGGGGGTAGTAGAATTCGAGCGGGCCACTAAGTGTGAAGAGGGGAACTGAATATGGGCTGGCTGGAAATCAAAAATCTCTTCCTACTAAAATTAGGAGAGATTCTTTATTAATAATAAATAATGGACTATTATTTTGATTATTATCATTTTTTATTAGTGGTAAATGTACTCCCTCAGTCCCATAATTATTATCCAGTTTTACTAAAATGAAAGATTTTATTTTTTGTCAAACTTAATTATATTTTACCTTAAACAACCGGATATACTCCTACATAAGTAATTGTTTAACCATAAAGATTTTATGGATAATGTTTTTTACTAAGGACAAATGTGTAAATTGATCCATAAAAAGTTAAATTGGACAATAATTTTGGGACAAAATTTTTTGAGCAAAGTGGACAATAATTATAAGACGAAGGGAGTAATTAGTAGTGTGTGTTCCACCCACACGGGAGAGAATCTGCTTTATTCAGAATGCTGAAGAGCAAATTGCTAGTACTTTTTCACTGTCCGAATTTTTTATATTTGGGACCAAAAAAAAAGAAGGGGAAGAAAAGTTCATTCAATCAAATGATCTTGTGAGAAATTCTCTGGACCTTTTATAAGAAGAAGAAGCGAAATTGGGCAGTGAGGTTTGATTTGATTTGATTTAGGTGTTGAAGAAATATTCTCAAGTGCTCACGAGAATAATTTGTACTCCCTTCCTCCGTCTCAAAAATTTTAACAGTATAAATTTAAAAACTTGATGTATACTATTTTTTTGAGACGAAGAGAATAATTTTACAAAATCAAAAATTTATTGAGCGAGTTCGATTTTTTTAAAAAATCTCTTTTATCATCTTTTAATCATGATTTTAAATATAGACACCTACTGTGGTGGCTTCAATAGCGTTTGCAGCTCCAACGAGAAATCATCATCTTCATAGATTAGCTTTTGGACTATGTTTATGTAAGGGAATTAGTATGAGAATCATCCTCTGACTAATCTTTTCCTTTTTTTCACTTAATACTAATAAATTATTAAAGTTGGGTGGAAAAGTCTACATGCCCTTTCCGTCCTATAATCTCCATGAAGATCATAATTTTAGGTTCCAAGATCTACGCTCTCTCTATATATTTGTATTTTTCTGTAATCCATCCAAAAATCTAGGATTTAGTAATGTAATAATATGACCATCAAAGTTCAAAGCCGACTAAAAGTGACACGTCTCGACCTTCATAAACAGTAGTATAAAAAATTCAAAGGTAAAGTTTAAGGAAAAAAAAAAAAAGAAATAAAGAAAAGGTAAAGTACAATATAAAATGATAAGGTACTCAATTAGGGTTCCTTTTTTGGGAGTAAATATTGGGAATTGAAAGATTGGAGAGGGTGGGAAATCGATGCTCCATTTTTAGCATTATTATGCCAGAGGAAACTGACCCCTTTCAGGCTTTCACAATTTCTAGGCATTCTGTTCTTTAGTTGTTTGTTTGGTATCATTAAACCTTTGTTTAGACCCTAAAGTAGCGACTAAACAATTACATCTACTAAAAAAAATTCAAATTAGACAATAATTTTCGAAACATAAAATTTAATATATATCTCTTTAAAAGTAAGGATGGATATATATTTCTCTTTCATTTTTTTTTCAATATTCAGAGTAAAAAAAATATATGAAAGAACTTATCGCCGAGACTCCATTATTGCCAAATAAAATCACTCTCCTGCAAAAATTTTAACTTTAAAATAATATCAAAAACTTATTTCCTAGATGTACATACATATAAGCAACCTTTGTTCTTGTATGTAATGATCAAATTGGGAAACGGAGATAGTATTCTCCAATTAATTATACAAAGCTCATTTTTTTCCACCACTGTTGCATGCTTGCAATGATTAATTCATTTGATTGTGGTAATTATTATTATGGTTATGGATGCTAATGCATGCAAGTCATCTTTTTCTTCCCTACTAGACAACGCTTTACACACAACAATCATTTAAATATGTTTCCGCAATTCCAAAAAAAGAAAAAGAAAAAAAGCATGGATGGAAGTCCTATTGGTCATGATTAACTCTCTTCGGCTATTACTCTTGTAACTACAGATCTATATCACACACACATAATGATAAGTCGGTGACCAAATTTTGTGTGGGCGGTGCATGCCCTTCATAATATGCTTCTTTGACTTATAAGACATTCACATCTTAAAGGGTTTCATGATTTCATCACTACGATCTTGATTGAACTGTAGTTTGTTATTAGGGTGGGTCGGTTCGCCTAAAGAGTTATTTGTATGATCAACATTCAAACCATATGTTTAATTAATTCAAAGTACGTGGATATTTGATTTTTTCATTATGTTATTAAGTTGTGACTGAATCGCGATATAATCAGTATGTTTCAGCTACGCATTGTTTTGATTTGATATCTCCGATATTTTGTCTCATTTGGGGATGATCTTTCCAAGCCTTTCCATGACTCAATCAGCTGCCACATACCATCCATTACAATAAGGTAGTAATTTTTTCCCTTAAGCATTCGATACAAGAACTCTCATTTCAAGTTAACTATTGGTAAGCTTAACGATGTTACCAACAATTTCAAGCAATAATACTAACTTGAATCCTTTGTACTAACTCAGGAAGCAAATGACTGACTAGCTTTGCTCTGTGTTGTCTGTCTTTGTTGACGTTGCAACAAATGATAGATGGAGGCTGTATCCATTGCTACTGATTCCACTGGTTGCATGATCAATTTCCCCTTGTCCTCTAAAGGACCAAGCAGAAAAGTTCGGAGGAGTTATCAAGCCATCATAAAGTGTATCTACTTGGTCATTCGCATTACCAGCCATGTTAACTGAATCCCTAAGCATCTACAATTGCAGATCATCAATATGAAGAGCAAGTGATCTTTCAAAATTCATAACCAACGTAAGGAATCATTTAAGAGATTCATCTTTCAAAACAATCAAAAGAAAAAAAAAAAAAAAAAAACTAGAATTCCACGGGAAGATAGATTGCTTACCAGTTGCTCTGATTGATGCCAATACTTATTTGGAGCTGTCCAATTTCGTTCATTCCATTGCTTAAGAATAATTCACATTTCAATTGCTTACATATATGGGCGAGACTTGATCGAATGCTGCTGACTTTGATGAAAAATGTGAGACTTTTCAAAGTGACTCATAAAGGTTTGACTATCCTTTCGTAATTCCAAAAGTGGTTAACATTTCCCCTGAACGCGAGTAACCACACATTTTTTCTGTCACAGTTCCTTTTATTTCGACAACTAAAAAAGGTAAACATGATTTTTCCCTTTTGTCTCTATTCCGAATTATTTTAAAAAACAAGTAATTACCTAATTCCCAATTATGATATGATCGGGTACGTAGCACTTCAAATATGAGACGACTTGCTCCACAATATTAAAGTGTAAAAAATAAATACATAAATAAATAAATAAAGAGGGACTTAATGATGATTACCATTCTATACTTATCATATCTGCATTTCATTATTTTCATAAATATTCTCCAAATAGATGAAATCTTCTTCCTTTTTCCCCCTTTTCAAATTCATTCATTGGGTTTGAAGTTTTTCATTAAACAATTTTAATTCCCCCTTTGATATGATACTATCATCTTGTTGCCAATGCAAAACCCTGATGATCCAGTGGAAAGATTAAGCCACATTAATGCACCACCGCCCCCGGAGCCCCACTCCGATCATCATGCGAATAATTTGTTAAACCAACCCCATGACGATTCCCCCAATGAATCACCCGAATCACAACATTCACCTGATCATGATCCACAGATTCTCCGGCCACCTCCCCAAGATGATCATCACCGTCCTGATCATGCACCACCACCTCCGTCGCACCAATCCCACATGGCGCCATCGCCACCGCCGTTCCTCCCGCCGGTGATGACGCATCATCATCATCATCATCTCCAATTGCCACATTACCTAAATTGCCAAGTACCTATCCCATCTTATGCCTATCCGATGCTATTCCTTAGAGCCCCAACTCCGGATACCTACGTGGTCAAGCGTCCTTGGTCCACCGGCCTTTTTGATTGCCTTTCCGACCCCAAAAACTGTAATTTTTTATTATTATTATTATTATTATTATTGTCACACAACAATATCATGTAATGACTCATTCATGCCATTTCCTAGTACTATATCATATTTATATCCAACTTATTATCAGTCTGGATGAATAAGTTTTACAAAATGAATTATTTTTCTTAACGACCAAAAGACGTATTGATAGCTCCATATAATGCAATGGTAGTGTTTTACATGTTGTTGATTGGATTTGCATGCAGGTTTCATAACAGCCTTTTGTCCATGCGTTACTTTTGGTCAAGTTTCGGAGATCCTTAACGAAGGACATACACGTAAGTTGCCAAGAAAACTAAATGAACTTAAAACTCCTACACTAGTTAAAAGAAATCCTTACACTCCATTCTTTTAATTTGAAGTAATGTAAAATGAGCTGTTAATTACATATGGTTACGTATATATGTAAAAATTGCAGCTTGGTGGGAAGGGGCGATGGCCTACATTCTAATGGAGGTGACAACGATGACCATAGGAACGTGCTTATGTGGTTGGACCTATCGCTTGAAAATGAGGCAAAAACATTCTCTAAAGGGCAATCCCTTGATGGATTTCGTCTTTACTTTCTTCTTTACCCGTCTTTCTCTTTGTCAGCTCTACCGCCAACTTGATCATCTTGGATATAATGTCCCCTTAGGTAATCATCAATTCTTTTGTTTTTACATTATTTTTCATATATCTTCAATTTCTTTATAAACTGACCATGTATTATGCTTGGAAACATAAAGTAAATTATTTTGTGTGGCATAGTCGTAGATTGGATGCTGTTTTACATGAACATATTAAAATCAATAAACCGAAATTTAATCATAATACAACAGAGTTTCTCGTAAACCAATTATATATAGACTGTATATAGTCTTATTTTACACTTTTACTCTCTTGGAATATTAACATTTTGTTTTTCTGCGAATAATAATTAGGGTGGTTTGCGAATAAAGATAAGCAAAACCATGGAGGTATGGGGAACAGGTTTCAAGTCGTGCCACCTGCTGTGGAACCAGGGATGTTCAGATGATCAAGGATTTGCTGCTAGTTTTGTACATGTGACAAAAATCTTGGATGAGTTTTAGGAGCTCTTTTCAATCCCTCTGTATATAAATTTTTGATCAAGTTTCACACTGCACTACTATCTTTGGATGTACAGTTAGTTTGTTCCCTAATGAGAAGTCATTGAAGAGATTACAATTCTTTGGCAATGGATGCTTGGAACTTCATCGTTGCAAGTATTAATTAATTCACCATAGTTAGAGCCTTTAAAGAATGGTACTCCTATAATATACATGAAATTAAAATCTTATTCACCTTCTTGAACATATTATGCCTTAATTAACAAAGCATAATGTAGTAGTTGAAAACACCCGTAGAACACATAAGTGGATCCAAGAAGAGGGGAAAAATAAAGCCACCGAGAAATTAAAACTACAATACCAGAACTTTTTTTTATATAACAATAATAATCAGATTTGAACGTTTGAACAATTAGGAATCAGAATAGTCAGATTTGTATAAATGTCTTGTTTTTGAAGTAATGAAATTCACATTTTTACCAAAAAAGAAAACAATAATAATCAGTTTTTTGCGTTGGATTTTTTTGGGGGGGGAGGGGGGGGGAGGTTGGAGTAGTATTTTAATTTGAAAAGCTTAGACTTGATGTTTCAAAGTAAAAAAAAAAAAACTAATTAATAAAAATTTGAATATCGTACAAATTCTATGATAAATAACTGGATTTGACAAACAGCTCCAGCGACTTCGGACTACCGCCTTACAAAAGCGTAGCGAGTCCTACAGCAAATTGATTTCCGACACGACGTCGTCGAAATGAATAAAATTGCAAGTAGTCTTTCCACCGGCATCGATTGGCTGTAGCCCCCGGCACAAATCGGTACTTCTAAGTTAAAGCCCTAGCTTCAACCGTCTTCACCGCTTCGATTGAATTCGGGTTTACTCTCTTAATATCGCAATATCTTCTGAGTCTCGCCATTGGAGTTTTGGCCGCAATAGCTCTCAATCATGGTAAATTTCTTCGTTAATTTACTCAAGTATTGAATTTCCCTTCTGTTCTATTGTCTTCGTTACCGTAACTGATTCTGTATATGGTTCAGTTTATCGATTCTGATTATGTTACGTTTGGGATAACTTTAGGTTTTACTCATAGAAGACAGCAATTCTTTCGTCTTCGACAACCTAATCTATCTGCAGTAGTGGATTAATTGTCATTCTGCTAAATTCGAGTTTTTCTTGTTAATAACTGGCCTATTTCGTTCCCTAAGCGCCTGAATATGTTCTAGGGTGTCCATACTTGAGAGTTTCTGTTGATTGTGAAAATCGTTAGGGTTGATAAGCTTTGTTGGGCTGCTTGAGTGTGGACAGCATTCTCCTTCTTCTTCTTCTTCTTTTTTTTTTCAGTATTGTTGATGCTGCAACATTCTTAGAATATGTTTGCAATTTGTTCGCTGAGCTGCTTTCTTTTAAGCATTTCTTCATGGTCTTTTTGTGTTGAATGTTGTGTTTATATGCTGGTGGAATTTCAGGGATGATTGATTAATTACTTGCTTATGTGTAATCCATCCTTTCCCTGTTTTACATAATTTTTTTAGAGCCCGCTTTGATTGCTTGGGGAGTATCTTTCTTGAAGTGTAATAGATGGGCACGATTTTATGCTTTGCAGCTGGTCACTGAATTGAGGTTTTTTTTTTTGTGTGGCTCTTTTGCAGGCTACTCTTGCGGATTCATTCTTGGCAGATCTTGAAGAGTTGTCAGATAATGAAGCAGATGTTAATGTGAGTTTCTTTTCTGATTTCTGGTTAGCATTATATTTGTAACGATGAGTTTCCAATTTTATTCTTCTAAATTTGGATGAAAAACTCTGTCTCCAGTTGTTTTTCTTGTGACCTGCACTTTTACATTTTTGAGACTTATATCATGGGCACATTTTCAGGATGAAGAAAATTTGGATGCTGGGCTAATGGAAGAAGATGTTGATGGGGATCTGGCGGACATTGAAGCTCTGAATTACGATGATTTGGATAGTGTCTCCAAACTGCAAAAGTCACAGCGATTCAAGGATATCATGCAGGTTGGTTGAAAGTTTTTTTTTTTCTTCCCCGTTTTAAATTTCTTTTCCTACCCTGTTGAACATCTTTATCTATTGTCTCTATCTTCATGTTATGATTTTTTGCGTTTCTGCTTGGATAAATGGGTTATGCAGTCTTCTTGTTGCAGAAAATCGAGGATGCACTCACAAAAGGGACTGAAAATTCCAGTCAAAGCATCATTTTGGAGGATGATCCAGAATATCAATTAATTGTAGATTGCAACGCATTATCTGTCGATATTGAGAATGAAGTAGTTATAATCCACAACTTCATCCGCGATAAGTATCGCCTAAAGTTTCCAGAATTGGAGTCTTTGGTTCACCACCCAATTGATTATGCTCGTGTAGTTAAGAAGATTGGAAATGAGATGGATCTCACCCTAGTTGATCTTGAAGGACTTCTTCCATCAGCCATAATTATGGTTGTTTCAGTTACAGCATCAACTACTAGTGGGAAGCCACTTCCTGACGATGTGTTGCAGAAGACTATTGATGCATGTGATAGAGCTCTTGCTCTGGATGAAGCCAAGAAGAAGGTTCTCGATTTCGTTGAGAGTCGAATGGGCTACATAGCTCCAAACCTTTCAGCTGTTGTTGGTACTGCAGTTGCAGCTAAACTTATGGGAACTGCTGGTGGTCTTTCTGCTTTGGCTAAGATGCCTGCCTGCAATGTCCAGCTCCTTGGTGCCAAAAGGAAGACCTTAGCAGGGTTTTCAGCATCTTCCTCTTTTCGGGTGGGATATCTTGAGCAAACTGAAATATTTCAGAGTACACCACCAGACTTGAGGATGCGCGCCTGTCGGCTCTTAGCTGGAAAATCTACTCTAGCTGCACGTGTAGACTGTACAAAAGGTGATCCAATGGGTAAAGCTGGAAGATCTTTTCGGGATGAGATCCTGAAAAAGATTGAGAAATGGCAAGAACCCCCACCTGCCAAGCAGCCTAAACCTCTACCTGTTCCTGATTCTGAACCTAAGAAGAAGAGAGGTGGCCGGAGGCTGCGAAAGATGAAAGAGAGGTATTGCAAATTCTTTTTATATATATTTTATTTTTTGTTTGATGTTTTATTTGGCCTTTAATGTTTCATTGCCAACTTCTTATATCTTTAATGTTTATTCAGATATGCTGTGACGGACATGAGGAAGCTTGCAAATAGGATGGCTTTTGGAGTTCCTGAAGAGAGCTCTTTAGGTAGTCATGTTGTTCACGTAAACATAGTTTCTATTATAACTGGAATCTCGAATTTTATCGCATTTACACCCTTAGCATGTTGTATTTTCTCACTAGTTAAGTTTATCATGTGAGTAGGTGATGGGCTTGGTGAAGGGTATGGAATGCTCGGTCAAGCAGGAAGTGGCAAATTGCGTGTTGCTGTTGGTACCAGCAAGCTCGGTTCCAAAGTGGCTAAGAGGTGTGTTGTTATTTAGCTTTTCTTAAGTATCCTTCTCAACATGTGTGATATGTTTTGCTGCTTCTGTAGTATTAAATATTTGCTGATTAACCAACCAAGTGATGAATACTTACATGGGCTTTGATGTGTTTTCAGGTTCAAAGAGAAGCAATATGGAACTGGTGGAGCTACCTCTGGACTTACTTCAAGTTTGGCCTTTACCCCTGTGCAGGTTTGATTCCTCTCGGATTATACTTACTATCTTAGTTTCTGTTGTGCAACTTGAGCTCCCTTTAATTTGGTAGTAGTTAAAGGTTTGCAACCTGATGTGATAGATAGTTTCCTTGGACATGTGTGCTGATTTCCTCTTTGCTTCTTGCAAATAATTTTCTTAAATGGGAAGCAGGCTCATAGATATCATTGATTTTTGAGCTGAAAGTTTGGACATCGACAAATATCTTTTTTGTTTGGTTCTGCCTAAATTGTTCCATGTTAGAAAGACATCTACAAATAAAGTCTCTTTTGTTTGGTTCTGCCTAAATTGTTCCATGTTAGAAATTCTCACGAGTACCACATTGTCTTTTAGGATTGCCTGACATAGTCTCTATTTTAACCTTGGCAGCATATGCTGTTTTTTAGGATGGGCTGACATACTCATGTGGGTTCATTTTAAGTTTGCTCTTGTGGAGCTCTTATGCAGTTAAATATTCATGAATTATGGATTTTAAACATGAGTTTTGGTGGGGTGGTTAGGGGATTAGGTTGGGGGATGGTTTTTACCAGGAGGTCGAGGGTTCGATTCTCGCTGGGGCCATCCAATTTTTTGGAAAAAAAAAAAGAAGAAGAAAAAAACATGAGCTTTGGTGGATTTGGAATTTTGTCACTTCAGTTTTGGCCCTTCTTTTTCTGTCCATTGTTTATACACTTCAACTTCCAGCTTATCATGGAAGGCTGAAATTTGATTTTCTACTGAAATCCAGTGCATAAATCTAGAAACCATAAATTTAGTTTTTCAACTTGTTTTACATATATCTGGAAACTATAGATTTAGTTTGGCAACTTCTTTTGCACCTTTGTTTAGAGTTTTGATTGATCTCTAGCGTCTCCTGAAGTCAAAACATTGTTCTCTTTCGCTGCTGTTGAAGTTATTCGAAGGTATCAAGTGTGGTGCATTTATTCTGCTCTATCATGTGTTTCTTTCAGGGTATTGAGCTTAGCAATCCTCAAGCACTTGCAAGTCAGCTTGGAAGTGGTACTCAGAGCACCTATTTCTCGGAAACTGGTTCGTTCTCAAACAAAAGAAAAATATGAGCATTTACACAGAGTTGCTTTCCCCATTCATGGGGGACCATGAGTTGTTTAAGTGTTCCGGTGTGAGAGAACAGTTGGATGTGGTTACATGTGTATGAGTTGATCACAACTGTTCTGGGTGAGTTGATAACATGGTTGCATCTTAATCGGGTCTTGGGCGGCCATTGGAGGAAGTGTAATCTTATTAGATACTAGTAGTCGTTGAAGTCGCTATCTGATTGTGACGTGTTTGGTATTTTTTTTATTCACACCAAGTATAAATCGGGCAGTATTTTATTGAAGTACGGTTTGTTAAAAGTCATGTTAATGCATCTGTTGTTACACGTAACTTTAGATTTTTAGATTATGCTGTCCCGGTTTCTCGACAATGACAAAGTTTTGCTCCAAAAATAAATGTACTACAATGACAAAGGATAAGATTTTAAAATGAATAAACAACACAAAAATGCCTACAGTTGAAGATCCTGACGAATTTGGCCCAAGTTAAATTTTCATTAGGGACATTTTTTTAATTATTTTTGTTGTTGTGTGGTTAAGTAATTCCTTGCAAATTATTATCATCTTTGGAGCGTGGTATACAGTTTTCAACATACTTGAGATGATAAAATGAATCTGTTGGACATGACGTCACCGATTCAATAATTTTTTAGGGTCCAAAAACTTGGTAATGATCATGATCTGTTTTAGTTCGAGTAAATGCATTAGTTTGGGGGCTTTGGATTGTATGTAATCAGGTGATTCAGTTTAGAAAAAAAAAAAAAAAGAGAGAAATGAATATGCATTAGGTTCTAGTTACAGAAGCAACGGGCTGATTTAATCCGTGAGTGGACAAAATATATTAGTATTAAAAGATATGTATGACAGTGTTTCACAGAAGAATGTATGTATGGAAATAAATTGAGTTCTCTTAAATTTGACTGATTTCTCTTAAACAACTGGAAAAATAAGCAAGAAGATAAACATCAACGAATGGTACAACAAAAACAATAATATTATCCACATCCAACCAGGAAGGAAGCAAGAGGTGTAGTGGGTTATCTCGTCAGTCAATTACCACCTTTTACGTTTAGAGCTTAATGATTTGCCATAAAGTTTTTTTTTTATATTTTTATTATTAACTCTGAAGCAATCAACTTAGAGCCAGACGAATAATTAATGGGCCATATGATCTCCATCCTCAAACCAAAAGAGTCTTCTAACTTCTAATACACAGTAGTGAATAGTATAAGATAAAATTATTGTGCTAATTTGAATACTATCAGGTTCAAGAAAGCTATAAAATTCAACCCTCTTGCTTGTAAAAACTAGAATATCCCTTTCATCCGCCTGAATAGGTGCCAAAAATCAAATTAATTAGTTTGTGTTTTTTTTATATATATATAATGGATTAATTAGTTAAAAGAAAAAAAAAAGAGACTTCTAATTCATATTTTGATTGTTTTTTTTTTCAAATCTCGTTTTTACTGCCTATGAAATTACTTAATTCTGAGATCTTTTAACACAGTCCTTTTATTAAGAAAAAAGATTTCGAAATCAAGTATAAGAGTGATCATTTTACCGCTAGACTAGAGAACACTTTCATTTTCATGTGATGCTTGGTTTTATTTTATCCACAAAATTATCATATACTCCTACTAGTAACAATAATTTGTGGTGATGATCATTTTGGTATGAATTTTGTTGTAGTTTGACTTTAACCAGATTTTAGTTTTTCAAACTACAAATTGTGTTCTATTGGGCAGTTATAGCCTTATAGGTTTTATTACCAAAACTTGGAGAATAGTCAAACACAAACTACACATAATTCCCCATAAATAAATCCTTTTACTACAGTCAGTACCACTCCCTCCGTCCCATAATTATTATCTACTTTGCATAAAAAATTTTGTCCCAAAATTATTATCCAATTTCACTTTTTATGGATCAAGTTACACATTTGTCCTTAGTAAACAACATTATCCATTAAAATCTTTATGGTTAAACAATTACTTATGTAGGGATATATCCGGTTGTTGAAGGTAAAATATAGTTAAGTTTGACAAAAAATAAAATCTTCCATTTTTGTAAAACTGGACAATAATTATGGGACGGAGGGAGTACTATTTATCTAAAAAATATCCACTAATTAAATGCACAGATAAGCACAAAATCCCCAAAAGATAATCAAAACCACGAATCAACGGTTAAGATGAAGCAGCTTTGAAAGGTCAGACAGACACTCGTCTCATCACCCCAAAAGTGACACCAAGTGCTTCCACTACATTTTTCCAGCGTCATCATATTATTTATTGTCTCTTTTTTGACACTCTCTACATATACTTTTTTCATTGTAAATTTGGTTTAGAATGCGATTTTCATGGAGCAATTTGGTTGATTCATCCTCTTTCTGCCATTTTACTCTAATCCCTGATTTTACTTTTTCTTTCCTTAGAGAATTTTCTTAAATCCCAAATCCTCCTTTCCTATTCCAAAAAAAAATATCATCTTTTCCCATCTTATTTAACCACATAGACAGTGTCTACTTTTGACTGAAACCAAACTTCAAAGAAGAAGGAAAGAAGGCAAACGAAATTAAGAATTGTTATGGCAGCTCGGAGGATCTCATCCCTTCTCTCTCGTTCTCTCACATCCTCTGTTGTTTCTCTTTCCAGAGGTATAAACAATCTGTGTGTTGATCATGACTCTGTTTTTGGTTTCGAATGATTCATTTCTCCATTTTGTGTGTGTGTGTGTGTTCATCTTCATCCTTTACTTCATACATGATGGGTTGTATGAAACTATGAATGAATACACGTGAAGAAAAAGTCTGGCGTTATTTTTGATGTGTTTGTCGGTTTATGAAAGTGATGGGCTGCATTAGGTTGATGATGGGTTTCGCCTTGTTCTGTAGTGAAACTGGCTTTCTTCTCACTTTGCTTTGCCCCTTTTTCTCCGGAGATGTTGGTTTCTTTAATTTTTCACTTGAATTGGTATAATCCAATGCATGTGACTATGTTTTTCTTAAACATGATATCCCATATTTACATTAATATGTATCGTATGTTTCTGTCGGATAAAAGATGAGATTTTGAAGTCGATACATGAGAATGATGCAGAGAAATCCCAAATTTTTAGTATATAAATAAATTTAGAAAGAGTCTGGAAGTCCTGTGTAGATACTGGGTATGTGTACGGGTTGGATTTCTTTTTCTTTTTCAAAATAATACATTTATGTTGATCAATGTGTTGACAATGCATTATAGTATGAGGTTAATAATCCTCCCTCTTGGCCTGATGATGATGAAATTACCAACTTTTGTTAAAATGTTGGGACTTAGCCTGTTTTATTTGCTTAGTTGATGTCCTGAAACATTGTACTTCAGGAAAAAATTCCTATCCCGGCAGAGGAATCCATCGATTCAGCACTGCCGCTGCTCTTGAAGACCCAATCAAGCCACCTGTTTCTATTGAGCACACTCAACTCCTTATCAATGGTCAATTTGTTGATGCAGCCTCAGGTTAGATTTCTTACGTACGATTCCCTTTTTCTTGGTGCCAGAATTGGTATTCCTTTTGCCTATTGCTTGCTGTTCTTCTTTGAAGCTTGTTTTCTCTGTTTATCTCGTGTGTTTCAAGTACAACTTGTCTGTCTTTTCTGGATCAGGCAAGACTTTTGAAACTCTGGACCCTAGAACAGGGGAAGTGATTGCGCATGTTGCTGAAGGAGATGCAGAAGATATCGATCGAGCCGTTGCGGCGGCTCGCAAGGCTTTTGATGAAGGCCCATGGCCTAAGATGGCTGCTTATGTAAGTTTTTCTCATTGTTCTGTAGCAATTGCCATTTCTACAGTGCTGCAATCATTTTTGTTTGCCTTATGTAGGAAAGGCAAAGGATATTGCTGCGATTTGCTGATTTGGTGGAAAAGCACAATGACGAACTTGCAGCATTAGAGACATGGGATAATGGCAAACCATATGAGCAAGCAGTTAACGTGGAAGTACCAATGTTTGCACGCCTAATGCGATATTATGCTGGTAGGCCGAAATGGCAGATGAAAATTGACATTTTTCATTTCAACAGTTAACAATTTCTGTGTTTTAGCTCTGTTTGAGTAACCAATGACTTATGTTTATCTGCGCTCTTTAGGATGGGCTGACAAGATCCATGGGATGACTATTCCTGCTGATGGACCGTTTCATGTTCAAACCCTGCACGAACCAATTGGTGTTTGTGGACAGATTATTCCTTGGAATTTCCCCCTTCTAATGTATGCTTGGAAGGTTGGACCTGCATTGGCATGCGGCAACACTGTCGTTATTAAGACAGCAGAGCAAACACCACTATCTGCCCTTTATGTAACAAGGCTACTCCATGAGGTAACTCAAAATAAGAATCTATAATGTGTCATCTCATTCAGTTTGAGTTTTGAATCAAAGCCAAAAGTTCCTTATTCCTGTTTGTGCAATTTTTCTATAAAAACTTGATTAGACAATTTGAATACTTGAACATTGGAGAGTAACTCATCATGTTTCCTATATAATGATACAGGCTGGACTTCCTCCCGGTGCTCTGAATGTGATTTCTGGCTTCGGTCCAACAGCTGGTGCAGCTCTTTGCCGTCATATGGATGTGGACAAGGTCTTCTCTTTTTACACAACATTGTAAACATCCTCATTTCATTGGAGGCTAATGCATCTTAATTGCTGAGCACATGTCACTTGCCCCCATACCTTATTTTGTTTACTCCTTGTTTTCAGCTTGCTTTCACAGGATCAACTGAAACAGGAAAGCTGATTCTTGAGTTGTCTGCTAAAAGCAACCTCAAACCTGTAACTCTGGAACTTGGAGGAAAATCTCCTTTTATTGTCTGCGAGGATGCTGATATTGACAGTGCCGTCGAGATGGCTCACTTTGCGCTTTTCTTCAACCAGGTACTTTATTTGCTACCTGCTCTTTATAAACGGTATTATACAGCAATAGGAGAAACTCTCAGTCATTTCACTCAATTACAGGGACAATGCTGCTGTGCTGGATCAAGGACATATGTCCATGAAAAGGTTTATGATGAATTTGTAGAGAAAGCCAAGGCACGTGCACTGAAACGCAGTGTTGGAGATCCATTCAAGCAGGGAATTGAACAAGGTCCTCAGGTACGGCTTGGGAGAGCTCAATTACATTCAATGCATCAATGTATCTTGGTTGCTTGTTCTTTCAAGAGTGAAATAGATACCAATCGATTCTTCTGAGGAAGACCAATGATTTATAATTCACTTTGGAAACACAATTGGTTCCATATTTTTGCTTATACTGTAGAAAATTAATAAAAGTTGTTTTGATTCTGCAGGTTGATTCCGAACAGTTCCAAAAAATCTTGAGATACATTAGATCTGGAGTAGACAGTGGAGCTACCCTTGAGACTGGTGGTGATCAATTTGGTGAAAAGGGCTACTACATTAAGCCCACAGTTTTCTCTAATGTTCAGGTACATTATGTTTGAGTATAAACTTATTAATTTGTATACATAAATGGTTTGTGTTTTTTCTAATTATTACAATGTTGATCATCGTTACTTGCAGGATGATATGCTGATTGCACAAGACGAGATTTTCGGCCCTGTACAATCTATCCTTAAATATAAGTAAGCTGTGAACAACCTGTCTTGTTCCGGTAGACTGATTTTAGTTCACTGCCATCCACATTTGTATCAACTCTTTTCATGCATTTAACAGGACTCTTGATGAAGTGATAAAGAGGGCTAATAAATCTGCGTACGGTCTGGCTGCCGGGATCTTTACGCACAACCTTGACACAGCCAACACCTTGATGCGGGCATTGAGAGTTGGGACGGTGTGGATTAATAGCTTCGACACGTTCGACGCCGCCATTCCTTTCGGAGGGTACAAGCAGAGTGGGCAGGGAAGAGAAAAGGGTGAATACAGTCTGAAGAATTACTTGCAAGTGAAGGCGGTGGTTACCCCAGTAAAGAATCCGGCATGGCTGTAAATTGTGATTGCCTTTCTCTCTGATTCATCCTGTTGTTTTTCCAGAAAAAAATTGTTAGGGAGCCTTCAAAATCGCATCTTTTGGTGGCATTATGTCCATGATGATGATGATAATAGTAAGCAGCTTCGGAAGTATGAATTTGTGGTTGTAATGGAAGTTGGCATTAAAAGCTTTTTTTTTTTGTATTTATGTTTGACTCCTACCTTGTCTTTATGTGCATGATTTTCCAGCTCTGCGTGATTGATAATTTATCCACTTGCTTTGTTTTGTTTTCTTCCTGTGATTTTGATGCCTCCTGATGCTGCCTGATAAGAACAACATAACAAAAAAACAGTATGGCCATTCCCATTTCCCCACGTTTTTGGGTTTTTTTTTTTTTTTTTTGCATTTATAATTTTAAAATGTGTATGGCAGATGCAAAAAAAAGGTATACTGAAATTAAGGGGAAACCCGGAGTTTATATGGTCGTCTGAATCAGCTCTTCCTCTGCCGGAAACCAAAATTGAAGATTTGGTTCCAAGTTTGGTTGTATGTTAAAAACTCGGATGCTATTATGGTCCAAAATAGTACAGAAATGCCGGTCCAAGAAAGTGGTATGAAATTTTGGTAAAAAGTACGCACGTGCAGGCCTACTTTTCTTAAGGGGCCACCGTTTACCCATTCCATTCGGCCTTTATCATGGGGCTAGCTTCAATTGATATGATGGCCCTTAAAAGGAAATAGACCAAATTTTGTTGCCCTTGAATGTTTCTTATTTTGTCCGGTGGCTTTTGTAGCTGGAGTTGGATACTAGTTATCAAGTGAAAAGTACTTATTTTGTCCGGTGGCTTTTGTAGGGCGTTTCTATACCACTGTGAACATAGAGTAATATTAAATTATTTGACTAAATGTCTTACCATTACTAACAATGCTAAAGACTGCTACATGAAGTCTTTTAGAAATTAAAAAAAAAAAAATGCCCATTAGTGGTGTGCTTGTCACAGCTCCCCTATGTGTATTAATTGACTATGAAAATGTAAAAGAGGGATTTGGGCTCCTTATCGGATGGGATTTGGGCTTAGTTGACCTTTTGACTAATGAAGAGTTGATAACGCGAAGTAATGCAGAAGATTTATTATGTACCGTTTTGATTGGTTTGTCGCAATTGATCATGTTTTGCGGCAATGGAATAAATGTTCGACTCATTAACTAAGTTTGGCTATTCAGATTCCGCTGGAAGACAGTTTCAAAAGTATGTGACATGAGTTACAATACAGAGTACTATGATCTGCTTCCTAATGTAAACCAGAAACGTGAGCTCATTTCATAATCCTCTCTGATGCATATCTGGCCTTTAATTCAAGGAGAAAGAATAAAAAAAAAAAATGGGCAGCAGAAAAGGTGATTCAGGAGTTGCAAAAACTTGTCATTTTGAAAAACTTGTCATTTTGAAGTGCATTCTGGAGGCAGAATCTTGTATCTGGCAGTATCTTGACAATATGAGTAGTACATATGCTTCCTTCTTGACCAATCCAATCCTGTGTTTTGCAGATCAGATAATTTTGAAAACTCTGTTCCATCCACTGGATCCAAGCTCGAAACACTGCTCTTCTTAGCGCATGTTATACCCGAACCGTTGTTCTTCTGCTGCACAATGCAGCCTTCCAACTCAATTCCCTTCAAAGATGCCACAAATGGACTATAAGCATAATTTACACCGTATTTTCCTCCATGTGTTGCCCACTCTGATCCATCCCATATTGTCACATAAACTGACATTGGTTTCGATGGATACGCCGAACCAATCGCCTTGTTATGGATCACTTCTCTCACTGGTACATTGTCCACATAATACCTGAATCATCACCAATCAATGAATTTGTTAGTCCAGACAAAAAAAAAAAAAATTGCAGGAAAGATTTCATTACAAAATGTGGGATGCGTACACAATGTGGTGATTGTTCCAGAGGATGCTGTAGTTATGGTAATCCTGTGTCGGATCAAACCAGAGGTAGAGTTTCTCTTCTCTTCCAGTGCTTGTACTTCCATTTCCATACAAATTTGTCTGCAGAATCCAGTCTCTTCTTTTCTCATGTCCGAGCAATTCCATGTCAATTTCGTCATGGTTTTTAGGGAAATCTCCTTGATTGGACATCTGTTCAATCACATAAAAATGAGCATTCATTTCCTCCATCATTAGGTAAACCCAAAAAGGCTGTAAAATCTCCGGAACTAGTTGTTTTAAGTTGTCTTACATAAAAAGCTATGACAACTCCAGAAGTAAATCCAGCAGGGAGTTTCAATGCAGCATTGAAAAATCCATAGAAGTATTTGTTCGTTGATATTAATCCAGACCCTACATTTCAAACGGACAAACCAACAAAATAAAAAGTGAGAAACAGGAAGGTTAATGTTTGATTAAATGAATAGTAATGTATGTTACAAAAGTATGACAAATACTGTTTTTTTTTTTTTTTTTTTACCTGAGGTTTTGTCCAAAATAAGATCAGCATTGGTGCCATTGTTTGTTTGGTGGATGTTGGATCCTCCATATAACACATTAAAACCTTGATTAACCGAAATTCGACTAAACTGATCAGTAACTTTCTCTACATCCGGAGGAGTATAGATTGCGCCCTTTCCGGAAACGACAACAATCAAGCACAAGATCAAGAAGCTGAAGAAAACCAATCTCTTCATCTGGAAAATACTCCTACTAGCCATGTCTGATAATCTCCTTGTTCAATCGATGATGAATGTTTTAGTTTAGTGGAAATGTCTGTATATTTATTAGGTGGAAAATTTGAAGGTTGTTCTGTGTTGGTTTTTGGTCTGAGTTGTAACAAGCTGGCTGAATCTAACAGAATCAGATATTGATTTGACGGTGTTTGGTGTGGACTATGAATGCAAATTTGATTAAGAATTAATTGGAGTGTATGAAAGCTTGACATGTTCGGAAAGTCCTATAATGGTCCAGCCACAATCATGTGGGACGGGCCACTCTCATTTTTACACTGTCGGCTTTCAAACACATAGATCTTCCATGGATCTTCCTCTTCACAACTCTGAAATCCCAAACAATGTTTGTGTTTTAGTGTTGTTTTCCTTTGTCTTATTCAACACCTTAAATAAATCTTCTTGCGAATGAATGTTTTATAGAAGGCAGAGGTAAACAATAAATTCAAGCATTTACCGGACATTATTTTTTCACTTTTGAAGCAAAATTATGACGTAATGACGTAAATATGGCATTATCACCTTATGGGTGTTTTGTTGGTATGTTGTTATGGCGCCATTAGTTAATGATAAGGTAGCGAAGAACGAGAGCCTCAAAGGTCAAAGCATGGTCTCTATTGCAAATTGCAATTTGTCTCTACTTTAAACAGCTGTAATTAGCAACATCATTAGCTCAATGATAATAATGCAAGTGGTCCATAAAAGCTTCCTTTTTGGTTTTTTTTTTTTTTTTTTCCCCAACTGCCTTATATTGGGGTCCTGCTATACATACTGTAAGTCTTCAACAAGAGTTTTTTTTTTTTTCCTCCTCTTCGTTTCGATATATTGTGAATCGAGATTTGAAGTCATTCTTTTGAATAATTCGGATTTGAGCTGAGTAAGTCTGTTTCATAAAAGTATTTTTATCACTATTGCATTCTCATATTAAAATTGAGTCCACCGAATTTTTGTTTTTCTACAACGAAGGAGATAAAATGTATAAAACATCAACTTAAAACAGCTTGGTGGTAATGTACGCCAATATATAATTCTTTTTATTTTTATTATGAGACATTTTGATTTTTTTTCTCGTATGTTTTATTTATAATATTTGTTTAATTGAAAATTAAATTTTAAAAATACTTTATAATTATTGAGAGAATGGGGAATAGTTATTACCAAGAAGTCGAGAGTTCGATTCTTGCTGGGGTTATTCTTTTAAAAAAGAATAATAAAATTGAGAGAATACAATAAATGTGAAACTGTATTTTAAAATTTTTATTTTTAATTAGAAGACACAACAAACTTATATGAAATCTGAAATGGGCTGAAATGGAAAATAGCCGAAAAGGGGAAGTCTGAAATGGTCTGAAAAGTTATGGTGTGGTCTGGGCCGCTGGGGTTGATTAGGTCCTCAAAATGAATTTTGTTGAGGTCCATTAATTAATTTTGTTCTAATATTGTCTTTTGTATTTTGGATTATTTAATAAATATTTTCCCAAAAATGTTAAAGAATATATTTTTTTGGGGGAACGAACGAGTATAATTTTTCATTTTCACCTTAAATGAGTTAACTTCTATTTTTTTATACATATTTTCTATTCTATATTTCTGATGCGACTAAGATTAAGAGAGCGCAATGGAACATAACACTCATAATGCAAAAGACCTTATATTTTTCAAAATTTTACTGCAAATGAAAAAAATTATTTCAAGATATAGAGGGCATCTGAAAGTAGCGAATCAAAGAAATCGTGGAGCAATATTGGCATATGGATTTTTTGATGTATAAATTGTAGAAAAAAATAAACAAACTATTGTGTCTGTAATATACAAGGAAATCAAGAATGTAAGATGTCATCGATATGAAGAATCATCCTTGTCTGGAAATCAACACAAAAGTTCGAAAATGAATGGCAAATCATTTTTAAGCGGGGGAATTTCCATGTTAATCATTTAGGAGAATGACACATATTTCTTTGCTGGAAATGGCTGGCTTTTATTCCACTAATAAACATGATTCAGAAAAAAAAAAAAAAAATCGGCCATAATTCAAGTCACAACCTTAAAGATCAATGCAAAATGCTGCCTATAATAATCAGCCATAATAAAAAAAAATCTCCCAAACAGGTGCAAAGAAAAAGAAGAAGAAAAAGAGCTGAAAACGTGTTGAAACCAATAATGCATGCAGTTTAGGAAAATTCCATTTATTAGTTGCAGATTGGCCTAATTATTAGTAGCATACTTTAATCATTCAATTATTGTATATGTACAACTTTTTTTTTTCTTCTAAGAGTATCCACAATGATTTACACTATTGTGAGTATAATGTCATAAATTTTCAATATTATACTTTTATTTCACTTTTCAGTATATTGGTTTACACTCTAAAAATGTAAAATGAAATAATTTTAGTACCATCATAAATTCACATTAATTACATTAAAACACAAAAAAGTGTATTTATACAATGTAAAAATTCTCACACCGTATGATATTATCACACTCAACACAATGATAAACAATATAAAATAAAGTGGTTATTTATTTGTTATTTACCACTATTGTGTATGCTCTTAGATTAATAATTATACCTGATTGAAACAATGATAGATATATATTGTTGCATTATGTCGAATCAGACTACTTTTACACGGAAAACTCATTACCTGAAAGCCTAAACTGCCCTATATAATATAATATCGCCTCATTACCGCTACTAATTAAATATGGCAACTTATATTCAGGGCAAAATGAAGTCTTTGAGATTTTTTTTTTTATTCATTTTCAGTCTTTTCACCTAATCTCATTCATTTCGTAAAAGGGACTTCTCACCAAATTAAAGCCCCAGTTAATTCAATATGCGTTACGTATTATTATTACCTTTGTTATATGGCATCGAATTAGCATGCCGTGATCTCTCCTTCAGCCCGCTTCCAAATTAATTGTTCTTATTAATATCTGTCAAAATTAAATTACCTTCGTTATATGGCATCAAAATATCTATCTTCTGTGAAGAAAAAGAAAAGCATTTTTTTTTTTCCTTTTTTGTTGGTTTGTATTCGGTAGATTCTAAGGTTTGAAGTCAAACTACAATTGTTAGTACGGTATACAAAAGTAATAAGGTACGCAAAAATTCTAAGGTACACAAACAAAAAAAAAAAGCACGGTAAGGACAAAAGCGGGAAAATTTGTACAATGTACACGGAAGATATAAGTAAAAGATTTAATAAAATATCCGAAAAGTTTAATAAAACGCAAAATATCTTGCAAAATACGTAAATCTCTTCAGAAGCGTAACATTTTCACCGCTGAATTGTTATTCAATTATGTTACTCTAAATTTTTTATTCATGTTGACCAGAGTAAATTAAAATTTTAAACAAGTCCACGATGCATGGATTTCCTTGCTTCTTCTTCTTATAATCAATTACCCATAATCTCATGACATAAATAAAATGGAGAAAATCTTTAAAAATTCTGGAAAAGAAAGTAATAAATTCATTCCAAATAATAATAATAATGTCAAGAAATGTATCACAAAAATTGTCGGCTACAAGGTCCCTTCATGTGTGCTTCGTCCTCCTTTGTTGGAGTAATCTATAATCCCATAACCCTTCGACCACGTGGCTATGGGCCCATCTACTGAACGAAAGATCCCAAGAAGCCTCCAATTCACATCTCACTTCAGAAGACCTACGTGTCATTCATCCGAGCATCCAAGATGAATACTGACAACTAGAATATTCTAATCCACCGTCACCCCTATATATATAAACCTCAAAATCCTCAAAATGCCTATAAGCCAACCAACCAAATCTATCTACACTGAACTCTCAGTCTAAAAATCTTCTTCATTCAAAAAAAAAAAAAAAAGTCAACATTTGTACATTTCTGTAGTCAGTTTTTTTTTTTCTTTTTTCTGGTATCCAAAATTAATCAGATTCTTCAATGAACCATTGTTCCAATGAAATCTCACGCCGGATTTTGAATCTTCCGGCTATCCGTCCTTGTGAATCTGTATCATTCTCTACCCTTCTTCATTCCTTGACCAGTTTATGCCACTCCATATGTGAATACAGCTCCAAAACTCTGTTTGTGAATAGGACTAATGCAAGAAGATCCGTTCGTTTGGTTAGGAACCTCCTCGTTTTTCTGGAGGAAATCCCAATTGATAAATTTTCAAGCTTTTCCAGCTCCGTTACCCTGAGCTTGTCGGAGCTCCATTTCATCCTGCAGAAAGTTCGGTTCTTGCTGGACGATTGTGCCAGAGATGATGCTCGGCTATGGATGCTGATGAATTCGGAGATCGTTTCAGATGAGTTCCGGGTTCTGGTCAGGGCTATGGCTGTTGCCCTGGAAGTTCTGCCTTTGGAGGAGTTGGGAGTTAGTCATGAAATTAAGGAATTAGTTCAGTTCCTGAGGTATCATGCCCTGACTCTGAAGTTTGATGTGGATGCTGAAGATGAAAGGGTCTTAAAGCTGGTTTTCTTGATTTTGGGTCAGTTTGAGGATGGAGTTGACCCGGCTTCGAGGGATCTGAGAAGGGTTCTTGAGCATTTGGGGATTGAAAGCTGGAGCGAGTGCAACAGGGAGATCAAGTTCTTGGAAAGCGAGATTAGTTTAGAATGGCAGACTGAAAAGAAGAACCACGTTGGACTTCTCAGCAGTTTGATGGGGTTCATGATCTACTGCAGATCTGTTATGTTTGCAGCAGTGGACAAGGCGAATAACAGACCGAGTGATGATGACGATGCTGGCAGATGTGAAGTCATCAGATCTTTGAATGCTGATGATTTCAGGTGTCCAATTACCTTGGAATACATGACAGATCCAGTTGTAATTGCCACAGGTCATACTTATGAGCGATCTTCAATCCTCAAGTGGTTCAGGTCCGGAAATCCGACTTGCCCGAAGACTGGTGAGAAGCTATCCTGCACTGATTTGATTCCAAATTCAGCTCTGAAGCAGCTTGCCAAGAAGTTTTGTTCAGAATATGGCATCCCTTTTGCTGATTCAGTCAGGAAAACTCGGGATGTCACGAAGACGGTCGTGCCTGGTAGTCTAGCAGCCGAGCAGGCGGTGAAATTGCTGGCGAAATTTCTTGTTGGCCAGCTTGTGAATTGCAGAAACCATGAGCAGGGAAAAGCTGCTTACGAGATTCGTTTGCTCACCAAAACAAGCATTTTTAACAGGTCTTGTTTGGTCGATGCTGGGGCGATCCCGCCTTTGTTGAATCTCCTGTTTTCGAATGATCCGTTGATGCAAGAAAACGCGGTTGCATCGCTTTTGTACCTATCAAAGTTCCCTGGAAGTAGGAGGATTATCGTTGAGAACGGTGGCCTGATTTTGATCCTCGATGTTTTAAAAGAAGGATTCAAAATGGAAGCCCGACAGCATGCAGCTGGTACATTGTTTTACCTTTCTTCGGTGGAAGAGTACCGTATGTTAATCGGGGAAATCCCTGAAGTGATTCCAGCTTTAATGGATCTGCTCAGGGATGGCGCGGAACGTGGCAAAAAGAATGCACTGGTGACCATTTTCGGCCTACTTTTAAGCCCTGATAACCATCGTAGGTTTCTTGCAGCTGGATTAGTCCCCTTGCTGGTTAACCTATTCGGATCTCTCGAAAGGGAAGATCTCAGAACAGATTCTCTGGCTGTTTTAGCAACTCTTGCTGAAAGGCCTGATGGCACCGTTGCAATCCTTTCAGCCGGAGCATTACCGATGATAATTGAGGTTCTTGGTTCTTCAAACTCCTTGGCTGCTAGAGAATCTTGTGTCTCAGTGCTCCTGGCGTTGTGCAACCAAAGAGGAGCAGATGTGGTTCCCGTTTTAGCAAAGAATCCATCTCTTATGGGAAGATTGTATTCCCAAATAACTGAAGGCACGTCTCGAGCCAGTAAGAAGGCCAGTTCACTCATCAAGATCCTGCACAATTTCAATGAGCAGAGTTCATATGGCTACTCGAATCCGGCGCCTACACGGGAAAGGTTCATTCATGTTTGGTAAATGTAGAGATCAACATCATGCACAGATTTCATTCATTCATTCACAACATCTGTATTGTATATAGGCATTATATTTTGTTCTGGAGGGAGTTGTCCTGATTTGTCAGGTGAGGAGTTTGTGATTTCAGCTCGGTTTTTGTTAGAGCTTGTCACATAAAAGCTTCCATTTTTGAGTGAAGCTATGTAACATACGGTTGTTTGTATTTGTAATATAATTTTCTTCATACATGCTAATAATAAGATAATTTACATTGTGTATTATTCCAGTAAAAACTCATTGTCGCATTTTCAACGTTTTGGTATTTAAAGTAGCTTCTAATACAATGAAACGAACTCTATGTTGTGATTGTTTCTTCCAGATTCGTATGCTGCTAGAATTGCATCTAGCTTATTTGTGATCGAGTCTAGGAAACTCAACTTAGTGATTATGCTTTTTTACCTTTTCATCGGGCTAAAAATCCCAATGACCAAGTCCAAGAAACTCATTATGGTGTTAGACTGCTACTTGTTACATCGTCCACTTACTCGTCGAGTCTAACAACTCGATGACTAAGTCGACGAGCTTTCTTTTCTAGACTCGTCCATTTTGGTGTTGCGATAAAGATCTCAATGATAAAGTTGACGAATCTCAACTTACTTTTGATGTATTTCTCGTCAACTGAGCCAAGCGGATAAAGCCATAAAAGTATAATTCGACACAAGTGCAACATGTTTTACTGTGTCATAGACTTACAAGTCAGACTAGAGTTATTCTGATGATTAAGTAGACAAAACTCAACTTAATGGTTATTGTAATGTTGTCTCGATAACTTTTACATTGTGATAAAAAGCTATACAACTAAGTAGATGAAGTATGTTCTGATTCTGCGTCTACCTTTTTGTTTGGCTAAAACTCCCGATGACCAAAATCCAAGAAACTCAATATGGTGTTAAAACCGTTAGTTGTTTCATCGTCGACTTATTCGTCTTAGTTTAGAAACTAGACGACAATGTCGACGAAGTTTTTTTTCCCAAGTTTCGTCGACGTTGGCATCGCGAAAAGGTCCCGATGATAAAGTCGACCAAAAGCAACTTGCTGTTGATTTCTTTCTTGTCGAGTGAGCCAATGTGTCTCATAGATTCAAATGATGTCTATTATTATGGTCTTTAAAACCTCTCAGACCTAGCTCACCGCTAATGCTATATTACCATGATCTTGCAAAAGAGATAGCAACATTCTTGATCATATTTACCTGGATTTGGATTGCTCTGCCTGAATATATATATTCTAATCCCAAGATGGCTCGAAATGATTTCACAGTTTTCCTCTTAACTATATATAAACATTCAAGAGTAAGATACTGGCAAAAAAGAGTCGAATCTTGTCGAAATATCAAGAGCCTCCTCCAATTTCGCAACGACTCGTGGCATTGGTGGCCTTTGCTGCTTAAGGCCGGTGCAAGATAAGGCTAAGTTGCATACGAGTTCAAAAGCTTCATAAGAGTAATCCCCATTTAGTTTGGGATCGGCAAACTCCACCATATTCCCACCCCTTATGAGTTTTTTTGCCTGCCAATCAATACAACAATTAGATAAAAAGGCAGATGGAATTTCAGCAAATTGCAGATTAAAATGACTGAAATGCAGGTGATATAAGTATAACACATATGGTGTCTCACCAGTTTGTTCAGAAGTACAGGCCTATTTGAATCAATGTTCAAGACTTTCTGCCCTGATAGAAGTTGTAGCAGCACTATTCCAAAACTATACACATCCCCGGAGGAATTAACATGGCGGTTTTGTTGGTACTCAGGATCCACATAGCCAAATGTTCCTCTTACTTCTGAGCTTACAAATGATTGTCCCATGTTCATAACCTTAGATAAGCCAAAATCTGACAGTTTTCCTTGAAAGTTAGCCGTGATGAGAATATTTGTCGGCTGCAAGAGAATGAATAATTGATCAATGAGCAAATACTAGATTTCATTTCACATTATAGTACAAGTGGTTAGACTAACCTTGATATCGCGATGAACAATACGTCCTTCTGGATATGTGTGGAGAAAGGATAGGCCTCTGGCACAATCTATTGCAATTTTTAATCTCTGGATCCAAGACAAGTTTTTTTCTTTTCCTGTTGGCAGAAGGAACAAGATGGATTGACTGCACAATTTTCATTCTAACTTAAGTACTATAAGTTGAGATAAAACACGCCATACCATATAACCATTGCGAAAGGTTTCCATTCTGACAAAGCTCATAAACCAGAAAACACTCATCATCTCCATCACAGTGACCTATCAGGGATACAAGATTCGGATGTGTGATGTGGGCGAGGCTTTTCACCTCCCGTACAAACGTGTCCATTTGTCCGTCGTTAATTATATGCTTAGCAGCAATGTGCTGACCATTTGATAGAGTTCCTTTATACACCTTTCCTGTTCAGCATTGCAATAACAGGTTGAAGTTTTATCATAAATTACTATTTCATTTAGATCGCGTGGGATAAGAAGCTTTGTGCTTGTCATTGTACTCATTTAACTTTATTCTTAATCGAGTTCAAGATCTGCTATGCAGGAGAATCCAAATTTCCTTGTTTAATGACATAGTAAGACCTTCAGATTAAGCCCTTAAGCAACCAAGAAATTACTATGCACAAATGATAGTGAAATGCTTGGATTTCTCTCACCAGCTATTCCTTGGCCAATCAAGTTTGATTCACTGAGATGATTGGTGGCAGCATAAACTTCTTTGATCGATATGTTTACGCTGCTCGGTTCTTTGAAAAGGAAATTGGATGACACTGAAAAATCAAAAGAAGATATGCTCAGCAGTTTGTACAATGTAGAAACTGATGTCATGTAAAGTTCTTGGTGTGTAAAACGACCTTTCAACACTGATGAGGAAGATTTATTCATTCTTTTTCTGATCAATAGTCCAGCCATGACAATGATTAAAAGAACAGCTGCACTAGCAGCTACAATCCCCATATCTGCCATCACAAAATATGTCAATCTTAGAAATTGCATTTCTGATGCAAATACAACTAACTAATCTGAGGTAAACAATGATTACCATTTACCAACCTGTATACAACTTTTTCTTCTTTTCTCCATGGTTCTCTTGACCACTATCAACGTAGGATGCTGTCAATAAACGCCAATCAGTTTCGAACTCTGATATCATAAGTTTCACAAGCAAAAACATGAAACTCCAAAACAAGTATAAATATGAATGAACATTTCCAGTTTACCTTGATCAGTCAGGCTTTTATCTCCAAGACAACTATAAATCGCCTGGAACCATTGATCTTCATGACTTCTTTCGCTCATCACGGAAATCAGCACTGCAAAACTGCAGTAATCCGGTTTTTCTATGTTCCTCGAGTCGGTGCCAGTTTTTGTTGTTGAAGGCAAGTTTTCTTCCCAACTCTTTAAACACTGATTGCAATACTGATTTGAATCACCATCTGAACCCAACATCTTGCAGCCTTCTTTTAAGCTGTTGAATTTGTTTCCGAGCTTGTCGACAACATCCGTGGAAGAGTAATCAGAACATCCACCAAATCCATTTGTTAGCCTCTGAATGCCACAATTGAAAACATCTTCTTCATTGTTCTTCATTGATGACAAGCAGCCATTTTGCTCTGTGGAATTGAGAAATACTTTTCCAGTTTTATTAGTCCTTTCTGCCAAACCATATAAGTATCCCTTAAATGAATTCCCACAACAATTACTGCTTAAAAATCCATCCCAGTTTCCACCAACACAATCTGAGTGGTTTCCAGATGAAAATTTTCTTATGTCTATGATGCAGGCCTTGGCTGGATCAATACCATTACTAACCCCAAAGGCAAAGGTTAAGGTAAGTGAAAAGGTGAAAACTGCTAATGAATTCTGATCACTCATTTCGTTGTTCAAGGCTTCTCGGAAACTGGGATTGATCAAGAAGACTTAGCTCAACAATTCCAAGACAATTGTATACACATATTCAACAATCTGGCCGGGCAAAAGATTTGAAAAAACAAATAAAAAATTCTGTTGTTGAATGGTACTGAATGAGGAGGGAAAGGGGAATAAAAAAAGACATGCAAAAGAGCTAAATTGGGCAAATGGCTGAAAAAGGCATCTTCTTATATTTCTTTGACAATTTTGGGAGTATCTTATAGTAGCTTCTTATGATGTAAGTCGCGTAGAAAAGTAATAGAAATTAACTAAAAAGGGCAACAAAACACCATTACAGACAAATTGCCGAACTTGATCTTTTCAAGAAACTAGAATCATTTTAAATGTTATTATGTAGGTAAAATGATAGTAAAGAACAAGCGAGAAAAAAGTTAAGAAACGATGAGAACAATATTGATCGTGATTGTATAGTACACAGCCGCTATATATTAGGACTAGCTTATATACATATTGTCAATATCACAGTTGCTCGACAACGGCCAGATTTATAGTAATATTCCTATATAACAAGAACTTCAAACTGACGAGCACTTTATTTTCCCTCAAATATAATTGGCTGAAGGAAGAATCTAAAATGTTAAATTAACACATCTCATAGTTTTGAAACCACAAAGACGTACTATATTTGTTTGGTATATTTAGTACTCCCTCGGTTCCAAATGATTGGACAATTTTATTTTTTTACTTTAGTACACCATTATATTTTTATTTTATTTTATTTTTAAATCCACTCCAGTAGATCTCACTTAAATATGGGTAAACTCCCTTTTATAACCCCTGGTAGGAATCGAACCCTAGTCTATTACCAGACATCAACCTAAACACTAGATTGTCATTCAATTCCCAAATTACACAATTATTTGAATATATAATACCCAAATTTTTTTTATTTAGTTTTGATACTTAACCATTGTTGTTAAATTCGACTCGGACCGATCGGTCGAAGCGGTTTAATTGGGAACTTGACCTCAGGCCGAGCCGAGTAAGTCATAAAATCGGTTGTTTATGACTCGGTCAAAATCGGTCAAGATTCCAGTTAAACCAGAAATCGGTTAAACCCGTGTTTTGATTAGTAGCCTACTTTTAAATTTTTATTTTTTTTTACTATTTCTGAGGATGAACTTTTAACTTTTGACCCTTAATTAGATTCTTTGTGTTATTAATGGCCCATAACTTTTAAATTTATGTGATTTAACCCCTAACTTTAAATGTTTAAGTCTAAATTTTTAATTTAGTCATTCATTTCGCATCTCAAATATCAAATTGAGTACTAACCATTTTGAACTAAGGTAAAATATTATTTATAAACTAAATAATTTGAGCAATATTCATCACTTTAAACTTAAGTTTTGAAAAATTATTACCAAATGCATTGATTAAACGTGTAATATAATTTTTTTATGATAAAAGTCAATTATGTAACAAATTTATTAACTTTTTCATTATAATAAAAGTTAGTTTAAACTAATATTCTAGCTAATGTCATAATTTTGCTTCATAAAGTTAGTTTATGATAAAGTTAATATTCTAGCTAACTTTTTCATTATAATAAAGTTAGTTTAAACTCATATTCTAGCTAATGAACGTTATGAAGTGCTAGTTTAATTTTAACAATTGACAAATATATGTACAATCTATAAAATTTTATTTAAATAATATAATTATTAACTTTTAATATTTATTACGTCCTTATGATGTCATCCGAGTTGACTCCCGAATCGCCCCGAGTCGACTCCGGGTCGCTCGACCCCTAGTTACGGCCGTGTCAAGCTCCGGTCCGAGCATGACAACATTGTACTTAACTACTCTCTAGTGCTAACTAAAATAGTCAACATTGTGTTTCTTGATCAGTATAAAATAAGAATGTTTGTTAGAAGTATTTAAACACGTGATGATTATACAAGAAAAAAGAAATGCAAGTTGTTCATAGATCTCTTCCGACCCCCAAAAAAAAAGAAAAAAGAAAAGAAACAAAGGTAACATTTCACAACTGAATTTACAAGAGTTTCTTAATAGTTTGCTAGAGTTGTATATCATCTACCTGAGCCGTAACAGATAGGTTTTATCACCCAAAATGACGCACAACCTTGTGGTATCTCTCACAGTGGTGCGCCTAACTTTGCCGTTTAGGGCAGGTTCCAATATACGTGGAATGGCACTGTGGAAAGCATGTTGGGAGCCATCCCTAAAAATCTCTCTACTCCAAGAATTAGAATTATTACTCCTTGGAATGCGGACATCAAATTCAATCTTGTCAAGTGAAACGGCACTCTTGATCAGATACTTAACGAGTTGAACATCTTCTTTCCACCCGACCCAACCAATAAATTCAATAACCTTTAGGCATTTATGTGTATGCGACTTTGTCCGTTCCTCCCATTTCTTATCACCAATCCATCCTTCACCGCCCGCCTCCATTACGACACCCTTCACGTACTGCAGACAAAAAAAGAGCACATTTTATAATTAAGATGACATTTAGTGAAAGGTAAGAGATTTTATTTTATTTATTTTTTCTAATAATAACTAGAAACAAAAACCACACTTAAGAGAAAGCACCACCATTTGCCATATGGCATTTCCACATCATATTTTTAAAATAAATTTTTATTTACACATCAGTTTCCTAGACTTAAAAGGTAAATGCAATACAAATCCACCACCATCTCCTATTTTTGCCAAAAAAAAAAAAACCACGACTTCTTAAAAAACACAAATCCTCATCTCCATCTCCACGACAATTGACTCTCTAATTAATTCCTTCTCCACAATTAAAAAAAAAAAATTTCTCATCAATCATCAATTGAGAATATGTGGTGAAATATACTTCTTTCCTATTAGCATGTTCAATCTTTTCATTAGTGATGATCAACTACATCCTAATCAGATAAAATTTTGACTTCAAAAAATATTCTCTTTACCTCTCTATATAAACACAAAGGGAAAAAGAATCTCATTGATGTTGCTTTCGGTAGTTGTGGTAGTGCCATTACAGATATTCAAATTTAAATGATTTTATTTCCACAGATCATTTGTACGGCTTTTATTATTTTTTGTTTTTTCCGTTCAAAAATAGTGTTATTACTATTATTTTTATGCGTCCACCCGTTACAGTTACCATAGCAGTTGTCAGATAATATGATGTGATTTCTTATATTGTTAGTTAGTTTAGAATTTTTGTATGATTTTAGTTCTGTTTGAATTGAATTGATTAATTGGGTTTTTGTTACAAAATGTGGTTTTTTTAATTTCTTTTTTATGTTTTATTCAATTAGAGTGGTTTTTCTTTTTTTTTAATTATTGAGTCTCAGTTTTTTTTCGTATATGGTCAGTTATGAATTGTGTTTTTTTTGTTTAATTTCTTTTGATTTTGTTTTATACTCCCAGTTAACCAATTATTATTATTATTATTATTATTATTATTATTACAAATGAAGTGCGTTTTTTTTTTTTGTGTTCGAGCTTTCAAGAATATACTTTTTTGGATTTGGTTTTTGGACTTTTTTGAGTTCCTCATCATATAAATAGTTCAGGTCGCTTCTTCTAACTAATTTATGGGGAAGCCTTTTATGAATTTGAGTGGAGAGGGAAGAAATGATGTTTCTACGTTTATTTGTGTTTTTATACATCATTTTTATCTACAGGAAAAAAAATTTCTCAATTTTTAATGGACTCTTTTAACTTACCATTTTTTTATTTGCCATGGTGAGGTGAGTTCTTTTTTGCTATAACTTGAAACCTGTGCATATTTACATTAATTTTCATTATCATATTTGTGATCAACCAGTTTCAAAATCATATTTTTGATATTTTACTAGCTATAAACCTTTGGAAGAAACAGTTCCAACAATTAAACATATACTCTTTGGAGGAAGTTTACTACAAAACTATTATAAATCTCCAAAACTAAATATTGATTTGGCACGATAACATCAATAAATCATCTTACTAATATTTAAACTTATTAGGATTCTTTTATATTTTGTCTAATATTTACTTCAAGACATATACTTGATCAAGTTTATTTATACTCCCTCAGTCCCATAATTATTGTCCAGTTTTACTAAAATGAAAGATTTTATTTTTGGTCAAACTTAACTATATTTTACCTTAAACAACCGGATATACCCCTACATAAGTAATTGTTTAACCATTAAGATTTTGTGGATAATATTCTTTACTAAGGACAAATGTGTAACTTGATCCATAAAAAGTCAAATTGGACAATAATTTTGGGACAAAATTTTTTGGGCAAAGTGGACAATAATTATGGGACGGAAGGAGTATTTAATAAGTAACACTTATAAAATATTTCTAAAATCTTCAAACATTTCTAAAACGTACCGGGCCAAATACATTTTTTTTTTTGCCAAATACAAACATTTCTATGATCACACTTATAAAACATTTCAAAATTCTTCAAACATTTCTAAAATATATCGAGACAAATACAAAATATTTTTTTTCAAATACAAACATTTCTAAAATTTACAAATATACTGGGCTAGGGTTGCGCATTACACGACCATACATCACTAGTATATGTATAGAGCAAGAAAACATGGCAAGTATATAGTACCTTCAACCTCAACTTTTGTAGACGGGGAGATGCACATAAAATTGAACTTAGACAGAGAAGATTCCCATGCCTGGTGACACTAAAAATCAATTCCAACTGCTCAAGGTTGCTGAATTCGGGGAAACTTTCCGGGAACTTCATACTTTTATTCCAATCCTGTAATCAAACCAACACCAAAATACACAATCAGCAACAACTCACAATTACAAGGACAAGCTGATTAGTACTCCTCCGTCCCGAAATTATTGTCAGTTTGGATTTTCATTTGATTTGTACTAAAAAAAAAATGTCAAACATGACAATAATTTGAGGACAGAAAAAGTATTAAAGACATAAATTAGCAAAGAAAAAGGAACAAAAAGGATTAACTTACGATCCCCTTGAGATACAACTGGAGTTTTTGAATCCTAGAAAGATTCAATTGTGAATGCATTTGGAGAACAAACAATTCAGCGTTGTAGTACAGCTTTAAGGACACGGAAGAGATATCGGGAACATTTCCAAAGCAGATGTTCGTCGTGTCTCTCCCGGCAAACCCGAAAACCTGCAGGCTTTTCGATGAAACCTCGATGTTATCCAACTTCCCACAGTGCCCGATTTCCATGTGCTTCAATTTATGTGTTTGATGATCATCTGAAACTCTCACGTTTTGAAGAGACGACGAATCTTCCACAACCAATTCCTCAAGCAACAAACATTTGGACAAGAAGAATTCGATATCGGAATCCGAAACAGAAATCGATCTCAAGCATAAACTGGTCAGCCTGCCAAAGATGGGAAATGGAAGAGAACGATTTTCATCCAATAACAAATCGGACGGGAATTCGCAGACATTAACACGGGAGCCTGAGCGGCATCCTTCAACCTTTGTGAGATCCAGTTCAAAGATTCGAACGTTCTTACGGATGGCAAAGGCGATCCAGTTTGATATGGGCTTTGAATAACCACGGCCCATATCGAAAACGATCCGTAACCGTTCCACAGTTGGACCTGTGTGTGAGTCCAACACTTTACGGACCCAATCATGAAATTTTCTGGTTTCATGAGCTGAGGTCTTGGGTTTATCGTACATGAGCTGCATTGTATCTTTACGCTCGAAATCTAAACAGCCAGAAAAACATTTCCAAAGTTTATACCATGTGTGAGATAGGACTGAAGTCCTTGCCGCCTGTTTCATGTCCAAATATGACAGTGTATGATCCCTAAAATCTCATCTAGCAACTCATCCATACTACCCTGCCCAGCAATTTACAAAATCAACATTATTAGGCCAATTAAAAATGAACAATTCAGATCAATTCCAATAAATCAAAAGGGTGGAGGAACCAATTAATTTGTGTTTCTACCTTGTGGTTTAAACCCAGGGCTGCTTGACGCGCCCTTTTCTTCTCGTTCGGCATCGCCTATGTAGTTTGGGAGCAGAGGGGCTTGTGTAGGGTTCTGACAGTAAAAAAGGGAACATATCTTTGTCGGGAGTGTAGGGTTTGTTTTTATATAGTCAACGTTTTCCCCATCACTAGTCAAAAGGCATAATCCCAAACCCTAATCGCTCTAATTACATCTCTTATTACATTTTGGATACGGATTCATATACTAGATCATAGCGAAATGACACACCTTAATTATTTATTATTTATTGATAAGGAAATGATCACACCTTATTAATAGTGTTAGATACCTTACATAATTGATACTATAACTTTTATAAATCTTCCGTAGTCCTAATCCGAATTAGGAGACCAGCTGTATATATGGTATTTGTAATTTTTTCCAAATCCACATTGGAATATAATATTATCTACATCTCAAAATAATCATTTCAGTTTACATATTTATTTTTTTAATATAATTTAAAGTAAAAAAGGGTGACAATACGGGAAAATATAAAAATTCCAGTATTTTTTTTCACATTCCAAACGAGTTCGATCATTCAGCCAAAGTTTGCGTCATGCCAACCATTTTAAAGTCTTTAACGTGACAGCGAAATGAGCATCCTTAACGAATACTGTAAGACTCATCAGTCTTAGTCAACGGCGTTAAGTGCGCCGTTAGAAAATGATAAAAAGGCCTAATCCGGATTCTAAACTGCGGGCCCCGGGCTTCCTTCTCCGAGTTATACGCTAGCCACCAAACTCCAAACTTGAACGGCCAAACCCGTCCGCGAAGACTAAACCAAATCAACCAATCGGAAAAAAATCACCGGAGCTCCAGCAGCGAAAAAAACCAGCGGCTCCGATGGGTGTCACCGACCCGAATCCTGAGTCCCAACCCGACGCCGAATCAGCAACCACCCTCTTAATCCCCAAAAACCCCTCTTCCTCCAGTGATCCCAAAATCCCTAAAGATTCCTTCCACCTGGCCTACATTATCTACTTCATCTTGGGTACAGGGTATCTCCTCCCATGGAACGCATTCATCACCGCCGTTGATTATTTCAGTTACCTTTACCCTGATACCTCGGTGGACAGGGTCTTCGCCATAGTTTACATGGTGGTGGGCTTGATTTGCTTGATTCTAATCATAGCTTTTGAGCACAAGTCAACCTCGTTCGTTCGGATCAATGCCGGGCTGGTGGTTTTCGTTGTGGCTTTGCTTGTTGTGCCTTTAATGGATGTCTGGTATGTGAAGGGCAAAGTTGGGATGTACGCTGCATACTATGTGACTGTGTTTCTGGTTGCTCTTTGCGGGATTGGGGATGCATTGGTTCAAGGTAGTCTTATTGGGGCTGCTGGGGAGTTGCCTGAAAGATATATGCAAGCTGTTGTTGCCGGCACCGCTGCTTCCGGTAATTCATGAACCCTTTAATTTTTGGTCATGGGATCTGTTGTTAATTTAACATTTTTAATGGTTGGTCCTGGTGTAAGAATTTTGGTGGGCTGAAGTTTTCTTAGCTTAAGTTGAGCTAGAGTTTATCAATGTTACTTTCTAATTGCAGTACTTAGTTGTAAGGGATTTTGTTAATGTTTACTGTCGGCTAAATTGACTATTCTAGCTAACAGGTAACAATCTTGTTTGACAATTAGAGGATTCCAAAATACAAATTCTGACTTGTATGGATTCTCGGCTCTAAATATTGGTGCTTTCATCTCTGCGTCATTCACAGTTGGCTGAGTTATCTGCTCTTTATTTGTTTCCAAGGGACTTGTTTTCCCTTTGAAATCAGCACAAAACACAGTGGTGCATTGGTGCGAAACTTAGTACAGTGAATCAATTTAGTCAGATGATATTACCCCTTTCTTCTGTCAGTGCTTGTAACCTGGCATGGTTTTCTGCTTATCTGATGATTTCAGCAGCAATGGAATGGTTGTGAAGTATCAGTTGTTGTAACATTCATCATTTAGGGAAACACATTCTTCTATTTATATTTCTTTCTTTGGTTCTTGCGCACTTGAGGCTCTAAAAAAAAATAAATAAATAAAAAAACTGAAAGGAGGAGAATTGCAGTAGTGCCGGCTCTGATAAAAGAGAATGAACCATTTGGAAAGCAGAGTGATTCCAAGATCAATGCATGTTGGTCAGTTCTCTCCTACTTTTTTGTTTAAGCAGGGCCTGTAGTGCTTCATGTCTTTCCTTGAGTGATTGCACCTTGAGAGTTTGTTCGGCTATGCTATAATAAGTGTCATGACAAGAGTAAAATTCTCATTACTGTTAAGAGATTTCCTATGTACTTCATTTTTTTAAAATTGTGCTCATGACAGCCAAAGGAGTGTGTTTTCCTCCTAACATGTGTGTAAGACTGTACGAATCCTGTATTTCAGACAACTGATTTAACAGTTTTGTGCTCTGTTTCTAGGTATTTATGACCTCCGTTTCAGATTTCCCTTTTTATTTTATCCTCAATTGATCCACATGGTGATTGGAAAAGTATTCTAATTTCTTCATCTGTCAAATGCAGGTGTCCTTGTTTCATTTCTGAGAATCTTTACCAAAGCTGTATATCCACAAGATGCACATGGGCTGAGAAGTAGCGCAAATCTGTACTTTATTGTTGGCATTGCTGTAATGGCTCTTTGCATGGTCCTTTATAACATAGCACCCAAACTTCCAGTTATTAGCTACTATAATGAGTTGAAAATTCAAGCGTTGAATGATGAGAAGCGAGAGAAAGGTGACCTTACTAAAGACCTGTGGAAATCAACCTTGTGGAATGTTTTTGGAACCATCAAATGGTATGGGTTTGCTACCTGCATCTTATACGTTGTGACTTTATGCATATTTCCTGGATTCATCACGGAGGATGTGCATTCTCTTGTTCTAAAGGATTGGTACCCAGTACTTCTGATAACAAGCTATAATGTGTTTGATCTGGTCGGCAAGTCGCTAACATCACTGTATCTCCTTGAGGATGCAAAAATTGCCATAGGTGCCTCGTACGCCCGGTTGCTATTTTTACCTCTCTACTATGGTTGTTTGCATGGTCCCCAATTCTTCAGAACGGAGATTCCAGTTACCTTACTTACCTGTCTTTTGGGTCTCACCAACGGGTACTTAACCAGTGTATTAATGATTTTGACTCCCAAAACTGTCCAACTGCAACATGCTGAGACAGCCGGGATTGTTCTTGTGTTGTTCTTGGTGCTTGGTCTTGCCACTGGATCCATTGTCTCTTGGTTCTGGGTGATATAGTAAGTTCCCAGCCTCTTTGCTGAAGATGGCTTAACCATTCTTGGAAGCCAATGCCTCCTGTGGAGACATTGAGATGCCTTTATCCACTGTTCATATACTAGAATTTGTACCATATTGTAATTTCTGATGCTTTAATGAACTTTAGGGAATACAGTTCTTGTGACATTGTTTATCTTTTTCCTTTCTGGAAGTAAGTTAGATACGTGCTTATTTAACCATTGGCAAAATCTCCATCAATGATTATAGACCAGTCATCACAAAACCAGCCATACATACTTATTTAGAGGCAATATGCATATGGAATTACTGCTAGTTGACTGCATTAGCTCGCTGAAGACGGATCTTTTCAATCTTCTTGAAATTATTGTTGAAGGCTTGAAGCAATCGACCATTACAGATGTACTCACACAAAATCGTGACAAATATGTGATTGGGATATCATACGGTCCAAGCTCAATATTCTTCCAGAAAAAAACTGCAAAAGGAAATGATCCAACACAACAAATAGTCAACAGTTCTTTGCTCAATTAACCACTCGTTTATGTTTGGAATGGCTGATCATCAAACTGGTTGTTGGTCGTCCAAGACAAATACAGAAAAAAATATCACCCAGAAAAGAAGTGGATCAAGAATGAGATAATCACCTATAAATGCATCAAGAAGCCTTAGATGAAATCAAAATAGGACTTGCATGTAGGGATTGGTTCTCAATCTCATACTTCAGTTTTGTCTGTTGCCGAGGGATCAACACTAAGCCTATCTTTCTCCATTTTTTTTTTTTTTTTTCACATTATCAATGATCATTAGTAGATTATTAGTATCATTGAGCCAATTACATTGCTACACCAGATGAACCTTCCCCTAAACAATAGTATAGATAAACAAAAGGAAACAAGTCTTGCCTAATAAAAGATCTAATGGCTTCCAAAAGCATTACTGCCTCAACTTCAGCAGCCAAAGATGCCGATGCTGAAGCATTAGCATGTTTACTAACACCTAAACCTCCCTCGGGCGATCCACATATTCCAGAAGACTCATTCCATCTAGCATACATTGTCTACTTCATACTCGGAGCAGGTTTCATACTCCCATGGAATGCATTTGTCACGGCCGTTGATTACTTCAGCTATCTCTACCCAGATGTCCCTGTGGACAGAGTCTTTGCGGTGGTTTACATGATCATAAGCTTGATAGGCCTTGTTGTGGTCCTATCTTTAGCTCACAAGTCAAGTTCTCTGCTGAGGATTAATGTCGGACTCGGGCTATTTGTGGTGGCCTTGCTTGTGGTTCCTATCATAGATGTGTGCTATGTGAAGGGTAGAGTTGGAGTTTATGGAGGGTACTATGTGACTGTGTGTTTAGTTGGGCTTTGTGGGGTTGCAAATGCTTTGGTTCAAGGTAGTCTTGTTGGGGCTGCTGGGGAGTTGCCTGAAAGATATATGCAAGCTGTGGTGGCTGGAACTGGTGCTTCTGGTAATTAGTTCTTGAAGTAGTGTACTTTTTAATCCAATCTTTGCTTCATTTTTTTGTTATAAAAGAGTAGATTCCCATATGCAACTGCTAAGTAAATTAACTCTTGAAATTTGTGATTCAGGAGTTCTTGTTGCAGTCCTGAGACTTTTAACCAAAGCTGTTTATCCACAAGACACTCGAGGGTTAAGAAGCAGCGCGGATCTTTACTTCGCCGTAGCCATTATTATGATGGTTCTGAGCATAATGTCATATAATGCGGGGCATAAACTTCGGGTCATCAAATATTATACCAAACTCAAACATCAAGCCTTGAACTATGAGAAAGAAGCGAGAGGCGGCGATTTGACCAGAAAACTATGGAGTTCAACCATCTGGAAAACTTTAGGCGCTATCAAATGGTATGCATCTGGCTCCAGCATGATTTGCATTGTGACAATCTGTATATACCCGGGATACATTACAGAAGACGTGCATTCGGCGATTTTCAAAGATTGGTATGGGATTGTTTTGATCACCGGCTTCAATATTTTGGACTTGATTGGTAAATGCCTAACTTCAGTAATCCTCATTGAGAATTCCAAGTTTGCAATCGGTGGTTCTTTTAGCAGGGTGTTGTTTTTGCCTCTCTTCTACGGGTGCATGCATGGTCCCAAATTCTTCAGAACTGAAATCCCTGTTTCAATTCTAACTTGTCTTTTGGGATTCACCAATGGCTACTTTAGCAGTGTTCTGCTGATTTTAGGTCCAAAAACTGTGCCATTGCAGCATGCGGAGACTGCTGGGATAGCTCTTGTGTTTTTCTTGATGATTGGTCAGTCAATTGGCTCTGTCGTTTCTTGGTTTTGGGTCATTTAGTCCCCTAATTAGGGAGAGAGAGCATTTTTCCATCTATTGCTAAATTTGCACAGCACGAATTTGTAACTCCAATAATTGTATACAACGTTTGAAACAATTTCATGTTTGTGTTTTTGTTGTTGAATCTAGGGATCAATGATAAGATTACAGAAGCCAAAAAAATGCAATATGAAGATAATATAAACGAACTTTTCATTAAAAATCAAATAAATAGATTGTTGAAGCAAAATTAAGCACCATGGATATGCAAAATTGTACGCTTGATATCCTATCTACCACAGGCACAAACCCAGAAATCTTCGTAATAAAGATTTATTTCGTCAAGTCATATGTTAATAACCTTTTCTTGACAATTCCACAATCCAGGGCATCCAAATCCTTAAGACCCATTAGACTGGGGACTGAACTACCAACATCTTTGAGTTGATCTTGGAGTCTCTCCGGTATTTTCCCCCGCTTTCCATTCACAAAGTTGCACAAGTACATAACACCAGCGTTTGCCAGCTCCTGCTTAGCTTCCAGTGACAGAAGTTTGTCATCCAACCCATTAACCACCCGCTGCAATTCTTCCAAATCAAAGTTAATTTGGGACAGATCATCATGGACCTCACCGACATCGGATTTAATCAGCTTCGAAATCTCCATTTGCTCGTCCAATTTCCCATCCAAGTTCTCAATCCTGTGTGTCAAGTGCTTCTTAGTCGAAGCCAGAGCATCCGAAACGTTCTCCAAATGCTTCGTCAAATTCTCCACGGCAACCGACATACCATGCTTCGTGACGTACATGAAATCCGAGAATGAAATTCCCTTCCACCACATATATCCATAGCCCAAAGCGCCCAAAGTAGCCGCCGGGACCAAAACAGATGATGCGGTTAAACCGCCGCTATTCCCGGAATCCCCGTTGATGATCACTGGGCGATTAGCGAATCCACGCATTTCCTCCGCCAATCGACGAACCTGTTCAGACACATCGTCCGATGAAGATTGGGTTTCTACTTCCCCTCTGTTCTCGTACTTCTTGATCAATTTATGGAGTTCGGCAATCACATCGGACAATTACCGTTCCTCATCAGAATTGTCCCCGTGTATCCCGTGCCGACAATCATGAGGAGCCTGGTGACTCCCATACCAGCTTGCAAAGCCATGGTCGACCACCACCGGAGCTGTGATCAGATTAAAGAGTGTGTCTTCTATTAGGGTATAAATTCTACTGTAATTTGTCTGCTTCCGGTGCGGTAGTTATATTATTCTCCAATGATCACTGAGGCCCAGTATTTTGTTATTAATAGGCTTTGACTTACTGCCCATGCAAACTCTGGGCCGTGATAATGATGAAACTTTTTCGTCAGGATAGGGCCCAGTAGCTAGCCGGTGACGGTGTTTCCACGGCAAAAAACGTTTTTTTTTCTTTTTTTTTTGCCCAGCACAAAGGAGAGAGGAATTATCTATTTTTATCCACTAAATATGGACTTAACCAAATTTGCAGAATTGACCCTTATTTAACTTTTGCCAATAGTGCCACGAATATTCTACAGGTTTCCTTCAATGCCCTCCTTTTTGGCATCGGAATATAAACAATTTGTTATTTTCACTTATTCTTATTTTTGTGAGTAATAATGTAATATTCCCTCTGGTTTTTAATACTAGTTGATACTAGTGTGTTGCACGGGACAAAAGAAATCACGCTCAAATAAATGTCACATTATAAAAATAAAATGTTTATAAAAATATACACGCTATATATTTCAGACTTTGTTAACTACGAATAAACCTGGTATCCAAATAATGTAATGTAGCACACCAATAACAAAGTAATGTTCAAATAATCCAATACGACTTTATGAGGACACCTAACATGATTTGCTCAAATGACTCTGTGATGAAAATAAACCCCTGAACGAACAAAAACCCATTGATTTGCTCGTGAGAAGATTTTCAAAATATAACTAATTTGGCCAGCCCTTGAAATTCTTAACACTCTCTTTTTATAATTTTTTTAATAATGGGTCAAAGAAATTTTTAGCATAAGGCTTAATTTAGGTTGGATTGTTGGAAAACGAAAATCATAATGCCTTATGTATACAAATGTGTGGAAGTATATATCTCTAAGATTTCCTCTTCCTCATGATCTTTACAAATTTTTTCTTTTTCAAGGTAAAGGAACAAAGGTAGATTTAGCAGTTATAGAAATTGGCAGTCCCTAACCTCATAGGTAGATTTCTTTGGACCTGAAACACTTATCTAAACTTGTTGCGTGAACTAATAACGTAATCCATGTAGATTGGCTAGGCCAAAAAAAAATAATAGTAATAAATTTTTTTTTAAAAAAAAGTTTGGTAGCTGAAAAAAGGGGAAAATACGGAAAGAAAGAATGTCCCTCTCTTTATTTATTTATTTATTTATTTTTTTTTGAGTTTGAAAGCGTATGAACCAAAGCAGAGTTCAAGGAACATGTTACACTCAATACAGAGTTCAAATGACCAAAAGAGTCCATCATACATTGTGAGAGGTGAAAAGCACAGATCATTAGTAACATAGTGATACAATAAGTAAAAAAAAAATTTAAGTAGATAAATCAATATTGAAGAACTATATCCGTTGATACAATTGACTTCCATTTGGAATTCTCTTCCACAGAAGGATGTTGTTAGTTTAATATTCATTTCATATAAAAATTAAAGTTTAAATTTTAAGATTGGAAGATAAATACGAGAGACTTTAGGGATTTTATTTTTATTTACCAAACTTTATTTTTTTCCAGTTCTTTGATTAGCTACAAAATACCATATTTTCAACGAATTCCACATTTTTTAAGTCACTAAAGACCAGTAGAAAAAATAAAATATACCCAGAATCACAAATTGTGTATATTAGCTAATCTTCACATGTGGTGTTTCGTTACAAGAATTTCTTCGGCTCATGGGTAGAGAGGCTTCCGAGCTACATGTATTGAAACAAATGGAAAATCACAGAAAATCATGTTCATTCAATGATTTGGAATCGGATTAGCTAACATACACAAAAACATAATTCTAAGCAATCAAATACTGGGCTTGTTTGGCCAGTATCTCATTTTGCATTTTGATTTAGTTTTTAGTTTGAAATTGAGATATGATTTAAAATATGTTTTGAGGGAAAATTTTAAAAATTATTTGGATAGATTTTTGATTAAAATAATATTTTTTTTACCACCACCGGCTCTCTCCATCACCTACCTCCGTCGCCAGACCGTCGATCGCCGGCCGGATTTCGACGAGTTGGCCGGATTTTGGCCGGAAACCACCGGTAGGCGACTATCCAGTGGCGACAAGGGGCGGTCCGGCGGTGACAGGTGGTGATGGAGGTGGTCCGGTGGTGATGGATGAAAATTGTGTAAAAATAATTTTTGGAATATTTTTTGAAAAGTAAATTAAAAAGTTGTTTGGATAATATTAGGATTTGTGTTTGAGAAGTAAAATGAAACAAAAATGCAAAATAAACGTTGGGCAAACAAGACCTTACGTGGAAAACCACAAAAGCAATGCAACACCAGACTAAACACCTTCAGTTCAAAGGCCCGCCAATTTTTCTCCCACCACAAGAAATACCAACCATTTATTTTTACTGCAAGTGCAAACTTTTAGTTTGTGATCTCGCGTTCAAATGCTCACCCAAAGACGTCCCCGAAAGAGATGCATAACCATGTTGACTTCTTGAGTATTTCAAGAGCTATAGTTACAACACCAATGAGACTGCCAGCACCTTCTATAGTAGCTTCCAAGCAGTCTTAATATCGTGATCCTTGGATACGGTCAAAGGCAACGAACTCTTCAATATCATAATCAGACAAAGAGAAAAACGGCCTGATCTTCTTTCTAGAATAATTTTCCAACTAAGAAAACCTTTCAAACCAGAATTACTCATAGCCATTTAACTGATTATTAAAGAAACTTTTTTCTGATAGTTAGCTGCTATTTCGGTATAAGCCATGGTAGATTCAAGTCTTAGGAAGAAAAGATGATGGTTAAATGAGCAGCACTGTAGTCATAGACAGGCAAGCTATGGGCGGTTGTCGGCGGAGCAATTTTTTGGTTGTAGGGTTGAAGCCAATTTTCTGCCAAACAAATGTAACTAATTATTTGGAGATAAAGTTGAAAATAACTCGAGATTCTTCTCATGCCATGAGCCCGAGTCTGCATGCAAACATCAACCCTAATCATTAATTTTATAAAAAAACCAAAATAAATCCACACAGAATAGCTAATAGCTATAAGGCTCTTTTAACATTATAGAGCATACCGTGAAAGTTCTTGAACCACAAGGATAATATCTAAACCCAGAGCATATATAGCAAAACACGACATTGTAAAACACAGTTTGAAAGTACAACAGAAAAGTTGAGAGCCTAAAATCATGGTTGTCTTCGTATTCAAGTCTAAATAAAAGAATCTAAACCTTGTTAGTAAATACTCTGGATCTCTGATGAGCATGATAACCCTTTCCCCGTGATTCACCAAAATATCTTTTCCCTGACATTAATCACACGATAATTGATTGATTCGTGGAAGTAAATCATAGAATAAATAGTTTCATGCCACATAATCAGATTCTCTGCGGCAAAGCCACAACAACATTTGTAAATTAGAATGAAGTCCCATCAAATTCTTTTGTTGGTCAAGTATTCAATATAAGATCCAGAGATCCAGCAACCCTTTCTATAGCAATGGATTCTTTAAATCTGATGATGCAACAGCATACACGAAACAACATGAATCTGTTAAAGATTCGCATGCAGAAAGCAGAAAAAAATGATCGAATTAAGGAATTGAAACGAATAAATGTAACGAAACAATTCTTATTAGTTATGAAATTTTAGAATTCATAGAGTGCGGGTTTCATCTAGAGTAAATCATCTCCTAATCTAATTCATCTTTAGGACGGGTTTTTAAAATTAAATATAAACATAAATTAAAATTACATATAAGAAATCACTACCCCAAATGTATTGTTACCTTTCTATTAATTTGTAGAGCTTGAAGGGAAGAAACATGACTGAATTTTGCAAAAGTTGGTTTCCACATTTGGAGTACACCAACATTGATCTTTAAGTCTTTTTTGACCTTCATTGTGGAGAGCTCCTCGATCCAATTGAATTCTTGAGCCACCTAAATAATTTTGAATCGATAGAATTTTTGTGCAATACGAATTGCAGTGAGTGTCCAAGAACTACATCTTTACTGCAACAGATCGTCAGTGGATAATAAATATAGAGATAACCTGAAATTTGAACTTCAATGGATGAAGATGGATTCAAAATCCCGAATTGAATTTTCAGATCTTAGAGACCGAAGAAATTGGGGTGGAATCTTCAAGATTTTATTGTTTAAAATTTAAAAAACCTACCAATTAGACCGAAGATTGGGTAAGATTCTTTAAGATTCAGTAAAGAAGATAGTGAGAGGATTGGGTAAGATTTTATTAACTGGTTTGTGATTTGGAGGTTAGTTTTTGTTGTATCGTTTTGTTCTATATACTGAAGATTTAACGTTTTTTTATCTTTTTAAATAAATAAAAAATTAGAGAAAATTACCCGTCTTACGTGGCAAGTGGATGATTACATCAGTTTCCTCTCTCTGAGTTTTCTATTATTAAGTTATATAGATAGACTCCTTCTGGTCCTTAATATAAAACATTTTGATTTGTGATAAGTTTCACCTAGTACATATTTTTTTATTGACAAAAAAACCTTACAGATATATTTTCACATTTGTTGTGTTTTCTTGATTGTTATGAAATATTTTTAAGGTTTTTTTTTTAATTAAAAATACATGCTAGGTGAAATCTTGGACGAATAAAAATGTCTTATATTAAGGACTGGTGGGAGTATAAGGTATTTTGATTTGTCCTAGATCTCACATACGATATCTTTTTCATTGAAATAAAAATTTTAACAACATTTTGTAATTATTAGGAGCACACAATAAATGTAAAAATATATTTTTAAGATTATTTTTCTATTAAAAAAAATTCCATATGAAATTTATGACAAATCAAAATGTCTTACAATAAGAACCGGAAGAAGTACATCTTAGTGTCAAACTAACATCATGTTAAACATACTACTAGACTTTAATTATGTTCTTATATATGTGCATGGGATGATACGGTTACACGTGCATAATGTATTATTATTTTCATATTGAATCTTTTGTGTGACTCTATGTATTAAACTAATTTAACTATGATCTGATTTTAAATTTAAGAATGAAATTGTGATTAAAAAAATATTTGTCTGAAAAGTTTATCACGTAAATATTAAAAAGAGACCTATCTCATTAGAATTCAAATTAGTTAAAATAATAATTCGAACATTGGATACATAATATACCAAAAAGTTAATCATA